GGCCAAGTTTGCACTTTGCACGCACAATTTCTTAGCAAGATAATGGCCTTCAACGGCTTATAATTTCGTCCACAAAAGCGCTCTGCGGGAAGACAGATTTAGAGTCAGCGATTTATGCTGCATCTAATGGTATGCAGCTTGTATGGATTGGCCACTTCGACTCTTGTAACCATTCCCTTGTCAGTTGGCACCTCCACTACAGCTCATAGATAAGGGGAGACTTGCAGGAGGGCGCCTCAGCTCCAGAGGGGAACACCCCTCATAACTCCTATCGTTCCGCTGCTAGAAATACAGACTCGAAATCACCGTTTCAAGCGCTTTAAGACGATATATGTCTCATCTGGATTGGTGCTTTCGACTAAGTGTCCTCTCCCTGTCAGTTTCTCTACCTTTCAGACAGTTTTCTAAAATGAATAGTTTTTGATCACACTCTTGTTGAAGAGTAATTTTGTTCGTTGGTATGAAATGATAAAGTATTTGTATATCATTCTAATAGAACTTTAACAATATGGACCGCTAATTCAAAGGTTTTTCTGCTTAAATAATAAAAGCATTTTCTGTTCACTTTTATTATCCTTTTTCGCCGATTTTATAGCCTAGAAACACAGTGGTAAATGCCGCTTACCACCGCTCATAATAACATTACGAACTTCTGTACAAAAGGCTTTGCGACCATTCAAGGTATCCTGAGATTACGCAAAGATTCTTAATACAACCTATAACCTCCATTGTAAGCCGCCTGGTCATCGTAAGTCATATGCGCCATGAGAACATTTCTATCGTTGCCCGTATAGGTAGAAAAGCGGAAAAAGATTGTCATCGGACACGGTGCCCGCTGTATTCTGGACAATAGCTTCTTCTTGTGGTTATTTACCCTAAAGTCTTACAGATAAGTCCGCTTTTTTGACACGAAAAAACGATGAAAAATCGCCCTCGCGCCGCCGAAAGTCTTGCAGGTAAGTTCTCCCATTAGATAAGTCCGCCAACAGTTAAGTCCGCCAACAGATAAGTCCGCCATCAGATAAGCTCGCCTGCCTTGAGCACAAGCGAGCGCGACCTAAGAGCACAGACGCGCGCGACCGCCCGCGTAGCTTGCCGGTGTAGATTCAAACAAGGCCGTGATATCTTCTGAAAGAAAGAGCCAAAGGATTCGACAAGCCGTGCAGGATACTTGCTGAGAAGACCGTCGTCATCAGATACGCCGTATAGGTGAGTTCTTTTCTTAGATATGACAGTGCTTGTACATATGAAATTGAGCGATTTCTGCTGGTGAAATTATAATAGATTTCATCATTGTATCATTGTAATCATCTCATCTTATCATCAGTTTTTTGTACCTCGTTTCGAAAGCGAGATGTTCTCAATACATCGCTCGTACCTGTACAGGCTACAACCTTGAAGCTGGCTGCCTATACTTTTTGCTTTCTCTATTGTTTACATGTTCTGAATGTAGTCGCTGTTGACCCACGCCATACGGCTTTTGTCAAATGCTTTCGTTTTTCACTATGGCTTTTGTCAAATGCCTTATTGAACGGAAGAGTGATAGTCTAAAAACGCTCAACCCCAGCAAAGCATTAGGAGTCTAAAAACGCTCAACTCCAGCAAAGCATTAGGCTTCTTTGTTCTTTTTCTCAATTCTTTTTTCATTAAGCCTGTACATCCAAGACAAAAGACACTGTAGACAAATTTGGTGGCGCCTGCTTGATTGCGCATCCTTCTGTTTTTCATCTGAGAAAAGAAGCGGACTTATCTGATGGCGGACTTATCTGATGGGAGTACTTATCTGTGAGATTTTAGGGTACATCCATACGACAGTGAGATAGATTTTAAGATCTGCATCGGCATCAAAGATTTCTCGCTCACTTGGGCATTGTCTCGCTGCCAAGTTTCAATAATACATCCAATCTATTTGAAGGCAATAACACTGTACAAACCGTGCCGAAAACCCTAGCGCTGCGAGCATGCAAACTTACGCAACGGTTCGGCCTGATACCAGTTGGAGCAGACTATAGCAGTGTAATATGCGGAGGTGACTGATAAAAATTACGGTTACTTCATAGTGATAATGAAACCTCTACTTGCTTTCCCTATTGTGAAGTTTAGTTTAAGCTTGTCAGAGAAACTTCAGCAGCCACACTGCTTGATTTATCTAGACACAACGCGCTCGTCCTAGTCTTTTCCCACGCAGAAGCTGCAGCAGGGTATGCGAGGATGGCGGCTGTGTGGTCACGGTGTGCGAATCGGCTGCGCACAAGATCTGGCACAATTCGGTTTCTAGGGTTTCTTAAAAAGACGTACCGCCTGACTTTCAAAAACTTTACGAAGTCCTCTTTGACCCTTATTGGTAACCTGTCGAGTTTTCGCTGTTATGTTTGCAGGGCTATCAACTGCAGTGTCGAGAACAGCAGCATCTCCGCTTCCGCACAGCCGCTTCGCCTGGATCCTGTAGCTTTTTCGCGAACATGCTCTCTGATCACTTTTCGGCCGCTAGGGTGGGAAAGCCGGAGTTTCACTGATTGGATATGATTAAAGAGCATTTTGCAGAAGAGATGCAGAGTCCCGCGAATGAGTGGAAATGCTGGTGACACCCGACGCTGCTAATGATAAGCCCTGTACATGTTTCGTAAGGACTGGACCTAGAATCGAAAGAAACAAAACGGAATGTTGCATAAGCACAAGAGTATGGCATTAGGGCGCGATATCTGACAAAGCGGTCTTATTAGCAAAATGCACTCAAAAACCAGAGGAAAGGCAACTATATAAAAATGTCTTTTCGTTATAGTTTCTTAACCGGTCCGTCCGTGATAGAGAAACCCAAAACATATGTGAACTTGCAGAAATATATGCTCCATACGATTTTGAATCATATAGTGGCCGCCTAGAGACGGACTAATTCTGGAAAAAGTATTACTTCAAATAAGTTTTTAAAACTTCTTATATAATTTTTCCGCAAGTAATATTCTATGCGTACAGTCCGAATCTGGTGTCATATCATCGCCTTTTACTTGTAAACAAGCCATTTATTTATTTTAGCATTCAAATTGCGCGGGCTTTCTGCAAGGCACGATAGAGCACGTCAGTCGTGTGGTAACTTGTTTTTTGAGCCTGCGTTCGTCTAAATGTTGGATATGTCTGCATAGTATGTTTACGTGGAGATGGTTTTTTCGCACCGCCCTGATTTTAACTTGTCTTAACACGTCAGGCAATCGTACTGAAATCTTGTTTTACGATATCTTCTTTCCTTTTTGTACCAAAAACGAAGTCCAGCTTGCTTCCAGTCGATATGTGCCGAGCCCTGGCAAATACAATGCTTTTTTGCCAGTTGGGTTATCTATGGGTCAAAAACTTCATGGACTTGCACCACTTTTTTGCGCAATCTTTCCTTTGCAAGCCGCTTTCACAGCAAAACCCTTCAGGCGGGCGAGTGGCGAGCAGAAACAATCCCCATTATGCGAACGGTGTGAGCAATGTTTGGTGGGCGAGAGGTGTGTACGAATAGAGAATGGCAATTATCCGGTCCTCCGTATCTCACCGTAGCCTCAAAAATGGGCGGCGATTTCCGGTTCACCCCGAGCGATGCGAGAGAGGGTTCACCTTCGGCGCCACCTCGCTACAATCGGATTTCACCTTTCGTCAAAGAAAATCCTAGATTATACTAATGGGCTTATACTGGGGGCGGGGCACCCAGTTTGATTAGGGATAGAATTCTAATATAATAATAAGACTTATGATAAAGGGATAGAGAAGAAAATCCTCCAATATAACGATAATTTCAAAACCAGGAAATATCTCTTCCTTTTTTACCTGTTCTCGGAAAAAATCACCTCGCGAATACCCGAACGAACTTCACCACTCCCTTACTCACGCGCAGCTCTTGTTTTTACCACCTCTTTTTTTGTTTGTATTCTTCAATGTTTACGATCCGGATATATGTCTGTGCAGCCATGCATATGTTAATATGTCTCTGTACATATATCCAGGTACTCTCCACTGCCATCATCGTCATTTTACTCGATGTTCGCACATTTATACATTGTGAGTACGAGAGGTACTACCGAATGCAGTCGCTGATCACTCCTGTATTACTGCAAATTTTCGAAAATCGCTTCCACTCGCTGTGACTACTCTTCCTTTTCTAATTCTTTTTCTCGTTACTCCGATACTTTTTATTTCTTATTTCCTTGAACCTCAGCTGCGAGTTTATCAATATTTCACAAGTGAAGTACATTTATACAGCATATTCGTTGAATTCTTCCTACTCCTCCACTGAACGCCATCAGATACCAGTTACTTTTCTTTCTTAAAATCTTTACCGATAATGGATATGATGTGAGCTTACTCGAACTAAAATATCGAATTAGATTGCGGTCCTCCATACGATTAGAGCGGTAATATAGAATAACAAAAAAAATTTCTTTTCTTCCTCAATCGTTCCCATTCGACTGAGTACTCTTTGAATCTGGCTAAATTTTTGCACTAAAATTCTGAAAACCTTTGAAAATAATCATTATCTATTTTAGGCCCCGGGCACACCTCACGCAATTTCAGCCGCGACGCGATTTGGCAAAACTCCAACTTTTTATCGCTCATCGTAGGCACTTATTGAATGAATAGAATATGGGGTAATTTGTGTATATGCCAAAGTTGTACATACTCTAAATTTGTAGCCAGCAGGTCTTGAATTTGCAGAGATTTGGCAGATTGCCAGATCGCATGGCGACTGTAATCGAGTGAGGTGTGGGCCAAGACCTTAGCGCCAGTAAATAGAGTTTGGGGGTTCATAATTTAAATGCGACTGATGCTTTTTTTAGACATTTTAGCACCTTACACACTCTCTACTAAATATCGGTAGAATCCCATTATAATGGAAATTTTTCCTTAAGCCAAGAACTAAGCTTTCCATTTATTTTCTCACCTTCTATTCTTCTTTACCAAAAATCTCCATGCCAGACACGAGTCACCTAAACTTGTCCAGTTTATTATAGCTTTCTTACTTTTTTAGCAGATTCATCAAATCCATAGCAGCTGAGGTGTGCTCATTCCCAAGGAAATGGAATCCTTGCTACCGTTCCTGCTTTTTGCATTTGCCAATGCCTGTGCACCGCCGGGTTTTGTTCAGAGTAATGATCCAGGTACGTACTGGCCACAATTTAGTCCCTATTCCTGAATGAGGTCATAGAATCATTGATGGGCCTTTTCACTTCCGAATAGATTATTCTACCATTTCAAGTGTGATTGGAAGAAAAAGTTATGGGCGAATTTTCAGATTTGTTGGACCTTGAAACAACCTGCCCATAGAGAAAGGAATTCCCAACGTAGTAAAATTCTTTAATGTTTATTTAAAATAGCCTATTACATACTTATGAGGCATTTGGCTCATTTTTTGGAAGAAAAAATGTCAAGCTGATTCATATGATAACGATATTCTATGAGAAGATTTTAATCTAGAAATGTGTTGTAAATTTGTTAATGGAGAAAAAAGGTTCTTTCATATTGAAAAATTCAGTCTGTATGACCAGCCTCTTCTCAAACTTCAAGCATAACCCTCGCTACTTTTCTTTGATCTAGGCAATGTCGGCGCAAGATGCTCGGATCTTATCCTTTACCCTGTTTCAGCAGTTGACCAAAGTGACCAGTACAGGTAACATTATTTCTACCTTATCAGTAGATCAAAGTAAAGCCAAAGCCTCTTTTTTCAAGGTTTGACTACAGTGATGTTAGCTTCGGTAACACTCATGCCCAAGGGGCTACGGTAGCCATAACATGCACTACAGGTGGACAACCGGCTACGGTAGAAGGTTATGATCAGGTAGGGCTCAAACAGAAACTAGTTAATAGAAACTCATCAAATCATTTTCGTGCGGATATTCTCGAAAATTTACTCTTTATCACGAAAACCAAACTGTCAGCAATAGTTTAGCCATCATAAATAAATTTTCCAACATCTTTGTGAAAATATCTCTCTTGTACATTTTCTTTCAAAATCTCTTCTCCTTTTCGACAAAATGGCACTGGTTTTCTAGGAAGCAAATGTTCATATGATGGCCCGTAGTGGTTTCCTAGAAACCGTAGTGCAGTGCACATCCAGATGACTCAGACTGGTGCCATTACCAAAATGGGGCCAGATGGTGACAAATCGGTTGAATATAACGATTAATTAAATTTACGAGAACATAGTCTTTTTCAGTGACACGTTTCAGTATAGACGATCAACTCTCTCCAAAAGTCATTTTAAAAAAATCTAGAACCAAAAAAATTTACTTGAATAAGGTATCTCTGCTTAAGAATATGGGATGGATTCAAAACATTTAACATTCGGGAAGAATTGATATTTATAATGCTAATAGTAAGCGGCCTTTTCGCTTCTTTTGGTTTATCCATCATGATATTAGCCTATTCCATCGTTACAATTATGATTAGAGCAGCTTAAAGATTTAGTCTTTCTCGTTTTTGCAGAAACAAACTTTGGAGTAAATATTCACGTACAAAAAACAAGTTTTGATGTACTTTCCAGCTTTTTGAACGGTCCAACGATGCTCTTTGGTGTTATGATATCAATATCACTCATCTTCTCAAAAACTTTTTAGAATCTGGTCTCCGGTCTCCAGACAAAATCTTTTTGCTAGGTGTGATTTTCGGATTATTCTTGCGCAATTGACCGAAGCTCGACCTTGCGAAGTCTAGCGCTAATAGCCGTGCAAAAAAAACTCTAGCACTATATTTCTTTTTTCTAAGTCTACGCAGACGGTGTTTCTCGTATTGAAGCGAAGATTTTCTCGGGCTAGAGCAAGGCCAAGGTATTCGATTTAAAAACGAAGACTTCTCTATTTTTAAACGCAGAGGTATTTTTACAAGTCAAATTCATAGTTGTGTATGTTGTATCTAAAAGAATTACCTGGCCATTTCAAGGCCGATGGCTCAAAAGATTCATTCATGGCTTTGATTCTAAACTCCCGCCCATTACCGTACTTGTCATGATCAGCGTTATTAAGTACGGTAATGGGCAAAGGTTTAGAGTCGAATTGCTCAGCACGTATAAACACATGAGCTACCGCTTTGGTAGTGGTTTATAGGTTCTGCCAATCAATTCCCACATACAATTCCAGGAATTCTGATTTACTTTGATTTTAATGATTTAATTTTAATTTTAACTTCTCAATATTTTAGCAACGGACATCGATCTCAGCAGCGCCGAGTTTACTGGCTACCTGTACGAATGTGGGTGGAAGCCAATACACATGGACGATACTCGGACGAATTTTGCAATTTGTTGACTGCCGATTTTGAGCCATGAACGAAGAAACGACGTCTTGTACCATATATGACCATTATTGTAACCTCCAAAAAACATGAGTGTTGCACCCATGATGTACTGTAGACTCTGAGACCTTGACTTCATGCACATCTTCAACTTTTCTGCTCAAATTTGCCGCAAAACAAATTTTTATAAGTGTGCTTCAGTGAACCTAATTAGGCCTTGTTTCTTCCCAACACAAAACGGTGAAAGGTGAGGATGTGCAATGTCTTGATACTAGTCAATAAACTCACACCAAGCTAATAATAAGCCAATGCTTCACTTTTTCAGTCTAAACTTCATGCTCCTCACTACTTTTACCCTTTCCTTTTGTCTTTCTTCTCTAAAACACGAACTTCACTGCAATTTCACTTCGCCTAGCCAAACCTCAAGTCTCACTATTTTAAATATCTGCGCAACAGTTCTACTATTACGGTGATTAGCATGTTTTACACTAACACTATGCATTTTTATAGCTCCTCTATAAGCTATGATTGAAATTCCAACTCCAAACAACTCTCGCCCAGTATCGTACTCGAGGCTGGCTGAAAAGAGTACGGTATACTGGGCGACAGTATGAATAGGCTCCTGATTAGAAAGCTTAGAACATATAATTTGTCTATTCATCGGTGCAGTCTCAATTTCACATGATTGGTGTTTAGGATTCTGCTTCCTAGCATTCTTGTATCTCCTGTGCTAGAATTATTTTGCAATATTCATATTTCCTGCCTAAAGTCATTTTCCCGCATATAACATGATTGTATAAAAAATTTCGTTGATTTTGTGAACTCCATAAGAGATACTCAATGATAGATTCAACAGAACAAGCTAGTCTAGCATTTTGGTCAATAGTGTCCTTGCAATGACGACAACATTTGCGCGGGAACAAATGCCATGCTGGTGAGCGCCGACTACTTGCTTGCGACTTGCGCGCAAAAAATGACCAAGGGTGTACACTGCCACTGTTTACGTAAAAATGTTGTCAGCAGCGTAAGAACACTATAACTGTCAAATCTACGGGACTATAGGTACAGTGACTCTACTTCGAAGTAATGATTAAAAATGACATTGAACCCTTTATCCAGCAAGTTTTCTGCATTTATGAGTTCTCAGTAATTTCACTAGCTAGGACTCTCACAACACAATGATACAAAATATCCATTTCTATTCTGAACATTCACCAGCTCTCCAACACCTCCCGAAGCAATCAAAGTCCAAGTCATCAAAACCATGACAGTTTCACGACGAGCCGCATTGTGTGATACCGGTCAGTGGACACGCGCATATACACACACAAATTCATACTCAGATCTGGTCATCCGACCAATTACTCGCTATAACTGGGGCGCAATAATTGCCGTAACAACGCCGTCCTATACCTGACCGCTACGAAATCAGCTTTTAGGGGTGATTATGGAAAGTGCACAGATGTTTGATCTCTAAAAACTGCTTGTTTCGCAATTCGGAGTTTTCTAGAGCATGAAATCAACATCGAGGCAGGTTATGCTAGAGTAAAATGAAGATTAAGAGTGTAAAAACTGCCTCAAGGAGCCAATAAGCCGTGTGATCAAATGAAAACTCAAAATCAAGATGGAGAAGCATAATTTTTGTGCAAAAACAACTTCTCAAATTTTCTCAATAGCTCTTTCCAAGTCAAAGTCACCTGCCCTCCACAACCTTGAGCGCCAACGTTTCAACGTACAGAGAAGCATTTTCACCTCAAAATGTTCACTGATACTTAATTTCAACCCATAACCAAGGCTATCCACTCATCTTCACATTTGCGACGTAGGCAGTCGCAAAAAAAAAGTTATGAGGGACAAAATACAGCAAATTGGAAATCGCACAGTGCTATTCGTACGTAGGGAATACGACCCATCAGAAATAATTTATTTAAAACCGCGTAGATTATTATTCAAAAACATTTACAATTAACAACAGCGAGAAGAAAATCACTTCACCTAAGCAACGGGCGCTTGCTCAATGTGAGGTGGGAAAGAAAGATGAGCGCCAGGTGGGTGAACACCTGGGAAGCCAGGTTTGTCCGGACGGAACAGCTCCAGCTTCGTACCCGTTTTGTCGATCGTTGCTATGCGTACAACACCGCCTGATGAGCTAAAATGAGGAGAATTAACTGCATTGACAAATAGAAGGCAGTAAAAACATTTGAGGTCAATTATAGAAAACTGATGTATAACAGACATGTTGTCTTATAGATAACACTAGCAAAGCAAGTCTGGTTGAGGATCAGCAAGGAAAAGGCCTGCGCTCTTCTTACACCGGTAACAAAGAATTCAGCATTTCATCTACGATGAAATTTGGACATAGCTTCAAGGACCCTTCTAAATAAGCCGACAATCACCCATTATCGATAGTCTCCTTTGCAACAAATTGAAGTTATCAATTTCAATAAAAACTGTGCTGAATAATCATGTTGACTTTAACTATTCCTCCACTTACGCTAGAAGCTTTCCCTTTCTCTCAACTCTCCAACAATCTACAGAATAAGAGATGAGCAAAGTCGATAACCACATCGTGATAAGCTGCGGAAGTAAACAACCGCGTCGGCCGTTGACATCTACAGAAAAATGTGGTTTATAGCGATCTCCATAGCGATAGGAATGGTATATAGCACCCAAGAAAAATCGTGATTAAAAGATATTGCCCCTTCTCCTGTACAGCTAGCACAGCGTTGTTTGTGGTTCAATCTTGTTGATCTATCTCAAAGCCCATAGACGCATTGTATAAACCCGCCCATAGCTGAATGATCAACATTAAACTTTGAGCAGCAGTAAAGACACTAGCGACGTATGCCCTATGTGACCAGTAGATGCCAGCCCGATTTGCGAGCTGAAACGTGAGTGATTTTCAACCCAAAATAGCTCAACAATAAAAGCGTAGATGTCTGCTATACCGCACCGCTGAGCGATGCGGAACAAAAGAACTCGAATCTTCGAGGCAATGTTCAAACAGATCTGAATTTAAGGGTTCTCTTACAAAAACCAAATGGAAAGTTCTAACCAATATGACAGCGCTTATGATTACTTTGGCCAAGAAATTTCACCTAGCCCGCCCAGATCGTACATTACTTGAACGGACACACCATAGTCCAATGGCATGGTAAGTATGCTGATTAATCCGCTCGCAGTGAGTCAGGTCTGGGCAGGTACTCAAGCTGAAATTCTCGGCAATACATGAATCTGGAAAGCAGCTGTATGGGCAATGACCTGATTGAGGTTACCCAGCAGTATGCCCATAAAAATATAGAACGCTGAAGACTTACCTCAACTTTAAAAACAACAAATATAAGGAAGGAACAACAAAAAGGTGAAAAGTTGAAGATAAACTCTGACGAATAATTCAAACTCATTTTTAGGACTCACCCATCACGGAATACAGCCAATCCCACGGCTTGCTTGACTATGGCTTTACATTCCTCCTTCGTCAAGTTCGGCTTCCATGCGTTATCGAGGAAACCCTGAAAAAAAGGCTCGAACTATGGTTCTGTTAAACCCTATATCTCCCCTATAAACTGAGCACATTGTGAAAATTGCGATCTCACCTGCACAAAGGTAGAGCCAGAACCAGATGCCGTTGATTTCTGTCGTGTTACAAAACCGCCCAAAGGAATAGCATAAAGCTGAACGAACGGAGCCCATTTTAGCGTAGTTCACTCGGAAATCACAATAAACACCTACCTGACCCCCTTCTACCTCATCGTAGCCCGCGATCAGAACCGAAGCGGAGAGCTGATCGCGGTAGTTGTATAAGAATTTGCGGAAAATCTGAGCTCCACGATAGATAGTCACGGGTTCGTTCTCCATCATACTGTAAAAGTGCCATACGTCAAACTTGGAACAAAAGATACGAGATAACATGAGCAAGTGGAACGTACCTATAAACTTCAATATGGTATTTGACAATATCAGCTATTGCCTGAGTGTCGGCTGCAGACCCTGATCGACATACAGCCATGTAGTCTGTGATAGGAGTGATCTTGTTCGTAGCTCGCGATGAGATGAAGGAGCTAAAAATGAGTAAACAAATGATGTAAAGAGGATGAGGCAGAAAATGGTCCGAAAAACACGAAAAGGAATAACAAAGTCTTGCTAGCAACTTACCCTGCACTAGTTCTGGAATCTGTGCCGACAACGACGCCTCCATTAAATTCCATGGCTATAAGAGTGGTCTGAAATGAGACAGTGCTTCAATTTGAGATAACTCAATTTCCAATTACCAAAATTAGCGATCCCAGGCTACGCAGTGATAATATTTCTATTTTGATTAAAAACTCACTCCAGTGCTGATGGGATCTTGAGGGTAGAATCCTATGGCCGGAACAGCCTTACGCTTCTCATCCTCCATGACATCCATGTTTTCGTCTAAACGCTGCACAGATAACTCAAAATTTGGAGTTAGCGATCGTACACAGAAAAGGCAGAAAAGACAACGCATTTATTCAAACTCGAGCAAGAATTGCGAAGTTTACAGAGACAATTGGCGGTTGATTACCTATAAAGGTTCTATGCACACTTTAGAAGTCACTGTGAAAAGTTTTGGTGTTGAGATCTTGCTGCAAATTCTGATCTGCTAAAGACTCGGCTATATTTCACCGGTGTTGCCGGTGTTTCCGTGTTTAGCCCCGGTATGATAAATTGATCAGACATACCCGTCAACAAGCATTTTGCCGTGTAGTGACCATGTTTCCCGATGCCACCTGACTCTCCACCGGTAAAAAAGTGAAATCAGCCGAATTTGCAAGAAAAAGAGAACCAGTGTAAGACCATGACAGAGATGAAATCCTCATACATCAGCACAGAAGCAAACCCTTGCCAAGATGCACCCCTCAAATATTGCTAGTGTCAAAAAGCAGACCCTTCTACTACATTGTAACTACCGGAGCTGATCCAGCGCTAAATGAAAGCCTGCTTCAAAGTTTCATTAGTCACATTCACCCAAAAAGTAGGCATCGATTTGGAACTCTACAGCATGCTTTCGAGATCTAGGGCGGGAATTGAAGTATGAAATAAACCGGGCCTACGGTGTGAAAGGGAATTTTACTAACACCATCAAGATCTGACAAGGGTCTGCTTTGCCGGCTCAGTGCCTCTCTCTAACAGGGAAAAATGTTTAGTAGAAGTGACCCTTCAAAGTGAAATGCATACCATCTTGGAGGGCATGAATCGCTGATTTCAAATTTGCCTTCCTTATCGCGATGCGTTTGAACGAGGAGATATCAAGGGTTTTGAGAGAGGGAATATGCAACAACAAAAAAAAAGAATTAGCAACTAGGGTGAAATCAATGGCCGCAATTTTTCTAATTCAAATAAGGCAGCAGAGAGTGAGGCTATTTTACCCTAAGAATATCTATTGCACAAAGTGTTTTGGCAATCACCACCGCTGCTCTTGAGATGTAACAGGAGTTTTACGAGCGACTTTGACCAAATGATCAAATTTTTTTGCTCTGATAAGCGCTAACAACTCCTCGTTCAAAAGTGCTTCGCGGAAAAGAAAGGCAAATTTGGAATCAGCGTTTCGTACCTCTAATGGTATCCATTTCGTCTCAAACGGTCACTTCGAGTAACCATCCGTTCCTTATCAGTCAAGTACGAAAATATTGGAAGACACATCTGAGATCCCAAATACAGAAAATTGAATATGATAGACTTGCTACTATTAGCTGTAAATGTAGCATGTATTAGGTTGTAAAGAAAGTTCAATAGAGGTTGAGCCAAGTTCTACTAATTCTAGTTTTCCAACACGACTAATCGTGACTAACTATCACAACCGAAATACAAAGAGATCGGCATGCAATGAATTCGTAACACTTGTCTTGTAGCGATTGAATCGCGACGATCAAATCGCGTGAACTCTGCCCGAGGCCTCAGACTTTCTAATCTTTATTCGAATGGTCGTCGGAACTCTATAAGTCCACTTTCACTCGTGGACTTGCTCCCAAATTAGACCAAAGATGCGCAGAGAGCACATATCAACTTACTTCTGTCACTAGTAGGAGTACAATATTTTGGCGCTATTCGGCTATCCGGGCCCCAAAATTTTTTTGCCATGAATTTCGCTCAAACTTGGCCCAGGGAGGTTATCTGACATGCCGATCACGAATATCTCTTTTTCTCCTCGTGAAAACGCCTCCCTGCAGGGTTACAGTAGGTATACGGTAGTTGGTCAAAATCACGGATTTGCCCGAGACTCCGTCTAGAGGGGTTATTTGGCATGCTGAACACGAATATGATGTTTATTTCGTGCGACAGCGCAATCCGGTAGAGTTACGGTAGGACTACGGTAAAGGGTCAAAATCACGGATTTGCCCAAAACTTGGCTTAGAAGGTTTATTCGGCTCGCTGATGCCAAATATCACATTGGTTTTTAACCGTAGCGTCATTTTCTCGGGTTACGGTTGCTATACGCTAACGATTGTAAAACAGAGTTCTGCCTGAAGCGGGTGTAAGGCGATTCTGACGATCGTGAAGCTTTGCACACACAACCACTGCCGTGCGCTACACACCCTGCTGCGGCTTTTGCCTAAGCAAAGCACAGGGGGAAGTTACATTTGCCGATTTGTGATTTTAACCCCTATCGTAAATCTACCGTAGCCAGCAGGGAGAAGTTTTCGTGCGGAGAAAGTGTGACATTCCTAATCAGCATGTCGAATAACCCGTCTGTGCGAAGTTACAGCGGATTTTGAGATTTTGACCTCCTACCGCATACCCACCGTAACCCGAGAAAATGACTCTACGGTACAAAACTAATGTGATATTCAGCGTCAGCGGGCCGAATAACCCCCCTGGGCCAAGTTTCATCCAAATCTATGATTTTGACCCTCTACCGTATACCTACCGTAACCCTCCAGGGAGGCGTTTTCCTGCGGAGAAAAGGTGATATTCGTGATCAGCATGTCAGATAACACCTCTGGGCCAAGTTTGAGCGAAATCCATGACAAAAAAATTTTGGGGCCCGGATAGCCGAATAGCGCCTATTTTCAATAAGCCGCACAATACATCAAAGGTTCAAACTAAAAAGTTGCATTTTCCCGAAAGATGCCATCCTATACAGGAAAGTGAGAAAGTAAAGCAATATGGAGCAAGTATTGACTCGGAACTAAGCATCCTATTGGGCAAGAGTTGTTACCGGGCTCAGGTTGTGAAAAGATTCTAGGAAATGATGTGAAAACCGTACAAGGTATGATAACAACCAAGCGTATCCCGTAAAAATATGGAAACAAAGCCCTAGCATCATGAAGCAATATATGAGAAAGTCTTTCAGGACAGGAACAACCACGAAAAGAGAGAAAATTAGCGCAAAAAGACCCCAAAGTCACTTTTTGGAAAATTGCCAAGGATGACAATTCGCATTCGAATTTGCGCCTACAAGCGTTGCATGCGCATCTAAGTCGTCGGGCCGACTGCCAAGCGCGTAGAATTTTGGGCATTCGTTCAACATCGCACTTTTTTGGGCATTCACTCTGCAACGCATCCTGTGGGGTGGTTGTTAGTGGGTTCATCGGGCATTTTCCCTTTTAGAGATCACTTGATCTTCATCATCACTAAAGTCCTTCTTTGTTTGTCATGTATTAGTCATCCTTGAGTCAGAGGTTGGGGTCGATTTGCTTTTCTGCTTTGTAACGTCAAATTCACCATATTTTGTGGGGGTTGGATACCTCAGGAGGTAATAAGGAAGGGAGTTGTTTTTATCGGGGTTCTTTATGAGGACCGTTTTTTGTCAAGAAGATCACAGATTATGTACCATTCGAGATGTTTGTTTGTCAGTGCCATTTTTTATCTAATTTTGCTTATTACAGTGGACAATATGAGTGACGCGGAATGCTATAAATGCCACGAGACGGGCCACTTTGCTAGGAATTGTCCAAATGGAGGAGAATCAGGCGGCGGTCGCGGTGGAGGAGGTGCTACTTGGTGGTGTTTGGGGTGTTGAGTAGATTTAGGTAATTCAATGTTTTCGTCTCCATTACACCACTATTTAGTGTAGCCAGCTAGACTTCCTTTTCCCAATTCAACTATCATCTTTATCGTCATTGTTGTCGTTTTAGCCAAGAAAATTTGAATTTACTTCAAAATTCCGTAGAGAGCGTCAATTTCGAGAATAATTTTGCAACGCGTTTTTAGCGAGCCTTTTTCGACATATAAGGAATCGCTACTTTTACGCTAAGTCGAAACCAAAGTTTGAATATGATTTTGCTGGGAATTTGCTTAGTAGGTCTAGCCTTGGTTTGGCACAGTAACGCCAAATGCGCAAACATCTTCCAGCAGGATTCATCATGCTAATTTTGATTACGACATGCCGTCTAACATCGCTATTCAAAAAAGTCCTTTTGAGCACTGCCAAATTTTCATTGGTACGCTAAGATAAGAACCAAGAAGATTTAGAGCAAGTTTTTGTGTCTGACCCACTATCGTAACACATGCATGTGATCCCAGAAAATGACGCTAATACGGACTCACTACGATTTGTGATCAGCCAGATAAGCTTTTTGAGTTCTGACCTGAGAGAGCACCCTTACGGTATGAATCTAACGGACTAATCCTAATCTGATTCTTTTTTTTGTTCTATTTTTTTCAAACTTATGAGTTTTGGGCCAACCAGTGCGGAATAGGGCTAATGAGTCTACAAAAATTGTGGAATCTTGATGAAGTATCTTGTTGAAAGTTTAAAAACTAGGGTAAATAAAGACAGTACAAAAAGTTCAAATTTTTCAAAAATTACAGTAACTAAAAAAATCAGAAGAAATCCAGAAAAGTTTCAAAAAAAGGGCGTTTTGAGAACTCGATTTTGAGAATTTTTTTTTGCATAATTGTCGTTTTGGTACAATGAGTAGTTGTCTTGCTGGTTACGTGCTTTTGATGTGGAGAACGGAGCGTTTTGTGGATGACGGGGTGAGCGGAGGCGATATTTATCTTCATTATTTTCATGCTTATTGTTTTAGGTGGTAGTTCGTGCTACAACTGCGGCGAACAAGGCCATTTCTCTCGTGAATGCCCCAATTCGCGTGATGGTGGACGCGGCGGCGGCGGCGGCGGAGGTGGCTACAGATCTCGTGGCCAAGAATGCTATCAATGCGGAGGATCCGGTCATTTCGCTCGTGAATGCCCCTCAGGCGGTGGAGGTGGCGGCGGTGGCGGTGGATACCGTGGAGCGCAGAAATGCTACAATTGCGGTCGACCCGGTCACATTTCGCGTGACTGTAACGAAAGCGGCACAGCCGAGGCCAAACGTTGCTACAAATGTCAGGGAACAGGTCATATCTCACGAGACTGCCAGCAGTAGAGATCTCATCTTCGATTTTCTCCCTCTTGTACAGTGTGGCGTGTGTCTCGACGATAGCTCGAATTATATCTCATTCCGTTTTCTTCTTTTTTTCTCTTGTTACAAAACATTCGAATGACATTGTTTATTCTCCGTACAAAACTTTGCGAAGTTTCGAAACACTGTTATTGTTGATCTGTTTGGTTATGTTATAGAGGTGGGAGATGATAAAGGTGACGTATTGACTCGCTGGAACTTGCAAGCTCATACATTGCAGTTCTTCGCAGTGATTCTGAAGACTAATCATTGTACGAACAGGTTTTTCTTCTGCTTTTGATTGACGGCCCGATGAAAACAGTATCGGTGATTTGTTTCGTTATCAGAAAGATCATCGATTATCATGAGTTCTGTCGGCATGGAATCACAGTCATAGGGCTTGGTGTTGTCATTCAAGCTTTTGTTATCTCACAACATGCCAGGTGCGATTGAAATGCGATGCTGTGCTTTGAAGCGTCACAAAGAACTGTTTTCAATACTATGAGCGCATATTGTAGTACACTATTTTTGGAAATGCAAGGAGAAGATGTCGAAGTGTTGTTAAGCACAGTGAAGTACATTGCACTAGAGCAAAAGCTCTATGAAATGCATAAATAGATGTCCTTTAATTGACAGATTCATTGCGATGAATTATTGGGTAGAGCGTAAGTGCACAAAGTATCGCGGTTTGCTTACAATAGTGTATGGAAAGGTTGCAGTTTTATCGCAATAGAGGGAATTGCTCACTTGCATAACACAGAAATGTAACGTAAAACTCAGTTTTTATCAAAACTGCAGAACAAAACTTGTTTTACGATTAAAAGAAGAGACTGTTGCTAGGGCTTTAAGCGAAGCGTCCGAGGTTACCTGAATCAAGTAACTGTGTTGCAAATCACAGAATCGTAGCTAGACGAATAATGTTATTCATGTGTAAATGTACTGTAAGTGCTCAACTTTCTTTCCGAAATTCAAAGTGTTACAGTGATTCCGTGAATAACTATAAATGACTGGAACCTCTCTGCACACATTGACGAGGTTGAGCTTATTCTTTCCTGTCTCCAAGCAAATAATCTTAGATCAATAAGATCAAGTACAGATTTGTTGACCATACGATCAAGCTTATTTGACGTGTGCAAAGCCAGAATGGATGATGGCTATGTATGTCGTAATTAGGCCTCACATGCTGCTGTCAGTCAAAAGTTTTGGTGCAGATAAGATTTATAGGCTGTATCAAAGACAAATGGTATTTTTGTATCTGCGCGTGCACATGTGTTCGCTCTGCACAGACATTGCGCCACTTGTGCGAGCTTCTCGGACTGGCATTTCGCCTTCATATTACCATATTTTGTAGGCTACTAAGCATTTTGACAGATTTTCGCATGTAGAGGATTGACAGATGGAAATTTTAGGTAGACCTGTTACTGATTCCCCGCAATTTTCGGTAACTTTCCGTTTACTCATGTTTTTTTACTAGTGTTTATAAAAAGAAAGTGATAATCATTCCTAGAAAGTGTAGCAGAGCATAACTCGTGGATTGCCGCGCGCAGTGTGCAGTACACATGTCAAGTTACAAAACGTGTTTAGCGTTTGAAGGTGTTAACAGCTTGCTACGACGTATCAATAGAAAAGAAGCATGCTCTCGCATATAGTACAATGGGAGCTGAAAGCATTGATGTCTGTGGAATGAAGCGAGAAAGTTCCAGGAAGAGTAAAATATTGATTCTAGTATTCTAAACATTTAATAGAGCGAGCGCCCAAAACTTGAGATGTGTGCATTCAGTGGCTGTTTATGAACATGTTTTCGGACCTGGAAGCATGATAGATAACTTCTGACGCACAATTGTTGCCGGTACCGGGAACACTCACTACTCAACTACCAGTTCTTCATTTCGTTGAGAAGGTCGTCCAAACACATGGCTCTATCTTCTGAGATATGAGAGAAACTTTTCTATATTTATGCTTGAATGAATGCGTTAGCGTTCAGTGTACCGGATAAAAAATCCAAGAACGAGAAAATCAATTCAAGGTTTTTGCGGTCTCCCGTCAGAAGAAAGTAATAATGGGATGGTACAGTCTGTCTCAATTGCAGTGTCTCCTCTCCTTCAGAAAATCCGCCTGGCGGGTATCTCGCGCAGCGTTCGGGCGGACCAGATGGCCGATGCGGGCGCACTGCGGATAGGTAGCCGCGCGTGATTGAGACACTGCATTGGCACGGAGGACGCGCAGGAGGAATGAAGGCCTAGCCGCCTGTGTCCGCAGGAGACAACTGAAGGCGTGAGCACTGCGGAGGAGCTTTGGTCAGAAAACTTTCAAGGAAACCCGGAAGATTGTTTAAAAAATAAACGCTCAAATCGCTTGGGAGAAAGCTCGAGAAAAAATCGAGGCAATTTTGTAACTGCAAAGGAGCATTGTTAAGGAAGAAATGAAGCTGAAAATTGCTGGTTTTCAAACGAAATGTCACACCTACTATCTTATGATTTTGAACACGAAAATTGTCCTGCATTTTCAGCAAGATTAAATTCGCATCGACATGCATAGCACACCGCAAAATGGCCAGGAAACGGGTAATCTGTCCTATTTACACACAGAATTCAAACGCTTTTGCTTACAAATTAATTGAAAAAATAAGAATGAGAATGAAATAAAATTCATGTTTCTCGAACCTCAAGTTATATGGAACCCATTTCGATGAATTCGAAAGATACACAGAGAATGTGTTACAAATGAATTTCATCTCAAACTGTGATAGCTCGCCTTCTAGCAATGCCAATATGAAACAAGATGAAGCTGAAGCTTGCGAGGATTTGGCAGGATCATCAGGTTGAAATTCAGGATTTCTGAAGCTATCGAATTTTAAGAGTTCCTTGAATGCTAATAAACATTTTTATTTGATTGTTAGACGTACAGCAATTTTATGAATTGGAATTACCGACTCAAGCCTTCATCTTGAATGCTAATTCTATTTCTGTCTTCCATATCTCTGATTTAGAGAATAAAACCATAAAAATTTTGACCGGAAATCATTTCGAAATTTATTTACTTTATAGACAAAACCTATGAATGGCGGAAGCCAAAACTGCTACTTGTAGTACACCTACGTTTAGCCAAGCAAAGTTTTGAAGATTTATTCTTTTACGGTTGTTTATAGGTTTCTTTACCAACTTCTTCCGGATCCTTGCAAAATCTTCTCCACAATGCTCGCGCTCATGATCATCTCCTATACTGATTTGGAAAATATGTATGAAGCACATAAGATCAGTTTATTCCACTTCATTCACAATCTGATAAGACTAGAGCACCTTTCACAGAATTTCAAGCCACAAGCTGATTGCAGCAGAGGCTACGCTCTTGTCTCTTTTCTTATCATTTCAAAATAACCTCCCTACATAAGAAGGACTTCCGTTGTTAAGACGGTCAATCGTTGGCCAATTTGTTACCCAGGCAACGGCGACCATGTGGCGGTTACCTAGCCGAGAAGCATTGATAATTCAAATCGCAAACATCCCTCGGAGTTTTTGCTCGTCAGTGAATTTCTAATCTTCGCTATCATTTGCTATCCATGCCGTGGTTATGTTGCCATCGACAACCGAAAGCTAAGCGGGAAGATCAATATAAGGTAATAGAGCGTCGCCGTATGGGGTCGACAGCGCAGGTCCGGGATTTAATGGTTAATTCTGATGTTCTGAAGGTTGCCGATGATCCGGAGGAGCAGCCACAAGCCGAAGACGATGAGAAGGAGCCAAAGTTTTCATGGTAAGTGTTTCTTGCACATTTCCTTGATTCCGTCGAGTTTTTGCTCCAAGCAATTCCACTCGTTTCTACATATGCACAGCGAGCACGGACACGCCACATTACGTGCTTACTTCGTCCTGAATAGTTTTCACCTGAAATTGCCAAAACATTTCCACAGTCCGCCATCAGACGTTTTACCAGTCAATACTAATGATAATCTGCGATGGAAATCCTCAGTTGTGGCCCAAAACTTTCCACAGCACGTACTTTTTCTTCAAATTTCATGAACTAAGCTATGCGCAAAGAGGAAGCGCGTTTCAAAACTGAATTTCAAAAAATTCAGAACATTTTTGATTCTTTGCTGCATTGATTATGCTCATTCCTAGAAGTTCTGGGTGATCATCACTCTTCCTCTCAATAATCATCGTAATTCTAGCAAAAGGCGAAATAAAAAATGAACAATTCTTGAAGCTTCAAAACTAATCACAAAATCCTCAAAACGTCACTGTAAAGCGCCTGAATGTAGACAACGCCAAAAAAGAGGAACATTAACATACAATCTTTCTAGAGAAACTAACGGTTATTAAATTATCCCATGCAATTTTGCTGTAAATATAGTCTCTGCTCAAATTCACTTCTTTGAGAGTCGAGCTACAAATTCCACCCGAAAATAAAGTAAGAGCGAGAAAATTTTGACAAATTATAAAAAGTTCGACTTTTTGCAGACTTCTTGGCTCCTACAGTGTAAAATTTATGAGAATTTACGAACTCACGAATTTCACGAATTTATCTCGCAAAAAACTAGTAATGGCTGCAAACTTTATAGCATTTCACAAGCAATAGGATACGCTGTTTCAGTGGAGTACCGAAGAGGGAGAGGAGGGGGCCACCCTCAGAATGGTTCGCGAAATTTTTGAACGTTACTTACATGAGTTATGAAATTGTGCAAGTGACTTGATTATACTTGTACCAGTGCGTCACCTCTGCTTCGCAGAGGTTCGCACTGGCTCTACTATCTATGTGCCTTACTCATTCTCGTAAAATCGTGGCACTGGAACTCACCGCGCTATGCCGACTATCACGAATAAAATGTAAACAACCACTCATTTAGAAAGTCTTTTCACGTGAGATCGGTGATTTCGCGTGGATGAAACTTTTCGCAGGAAGACAGACGCAAATTTGAATAGGTTTTGGATTTGTCATAACTTGGTAGTCGCCGTAAAGGTAATGATAACCGTGAGCTACATCTGTGCGAAAATCTTCTCAAACGCTTAGCTAGAACCTTGGAAACTTGACTATTTACACAACCAATTCGTTTTGGCGCCGTTTTCGTTACGTAGTAAACTTTCGACCACTTTTCTGGCTAAACTCCATCGCTTGCACATTTGCTTACCAAACTCATCCACGACTCTGCCAAAAGTGGTGATACGGACCGAATTTTGCGGTACAGAAGCCAGGTGGACCCGTTCGGCGCGCAATTTCTGAGGGATCCACTCAACGAATGTACTCGTGCTTTTGCATGTTGGACTTTCACGAAGGTAGCATGCGCTATACAAAATTTGGGCTTAAAACGCTGGCTGGAACACGCTCCACGATTTCGTAACAGACACACAAACACACACACAAAGTCACGTAAACATCCTTAGCCCGTTATTATAAGTCATGACATTTGACAAAACGATGGCTACCCTGTCGATATACCTAGTGAGAAGACAATAGAAAAAAGGCTAACAGCACCTATACTTTAACTCTGCATTTGTGAAAATGAGTTAGGCTTTTCACCACATTTTTTGGCACTATTCTTATAACTACTCAAGTAACCATTCTTCATGTGTTATTAACCAAAAATGCCTGCCAAACGCCTAAAATATCTGACCCCTTTGAGATGCGAATGCGCCCAGCAAAAGGAAAGCGATTATTAACACGTATTGTGCTTAGAACTTTCATCTAAAAAACAAAAGGAATTTTCTCGCATGGTGACTTGTCATAGCTAGACTTACTCACAGCTGATTGACCTCATTGACCAATCTACAATACAGCTTGCGTCCCTAGCAACTCTTTTGTGCACTCTTATCTCTGATGAAGTTACCAAAAACAAACGAATTGGCTATATTTCAGCTTGTGGTACTACAATCTCAAGGGGTTTCAATGCTCCCATTGTCTCAGCTTTACAGGCGCTACCGGTGCACTATTATAACGGCTGCTGTTGCTAGCCGCTAGTTGTTACCGCTATTAGTGCTAAATTTACAATGACTTAAGAGAACTTCACAGATACTGATTGTGACGCTCAACAACACGGCAATAGAGCTAAACCGGTAAAACCTGCAAAGTATGGTCATCCAAAAACAAAATGTCTCAGATAAACCCTGCATGAGTGGAATAATCTACAGTACATTTTCAATCCGTCGTGGGTGCGCTCTCGCGTTGCAACATTCGTTGCGTTTACGGAGGTAAATGCATCCTGTGATGACTAACAAGGGAACGATACTCAATGTCCGTGGCCTTTCAAAACGTTATGTATACCATTACACTCGTCTTCGAACGCTGATTCCGAATCTGCCTTCCGTTTCTGCTAATCGTTTCTCTGAAAGAAGTTATAGGAGAATTTTGAGCCAAGTTTGGCTGCTCAAGGGAAATATGGTCATTGGAATGGCCTGTACCGCGGCCACTTTCTGGTCTAGTGGTTAGTGCAATAGCCTTATAAGTTGATGCAGGTGTAGGTTCAAACCCTTTTGTGTTTTTACTTTTGCATTACCTCAATTAAGCTTGTTCGAGAAAATTTACTTGAGCTATGATCATTGGATACAATCTGGCGCAAATAGTGATCATTTTTTCCGAATTTCCACATTTTTTGAAGAGTAAGGGCGTTCACTTAGCTCGATGATGCGAATGAAGGTTAATTGAGGCAATGCAAAACTGAAAAACACAAAAGGATCCGAACTTGCAACTGCATCAACTCATGGGGCTATCGCACTAACCACTAGACCGCAGTGCACCGGTAGCGTTGGCGTTCCGACCATATTTCACTGGGCATCCACAATCCGCGCGATCCATTATAACATTTTTGAAGCGATTAGCAGAAACAGAAGTCAGATTCGGAATCAGTGTTCCAAGACGACTGTAATGGTATACATATCATCTTAAAAAGCCACGGACACCGAGTATCGTTTCCTTGTAAGCGCATCTCCTCGTTCTTTTCCTCAAATCCTCAAACTTTAATCAAATGAGAGGCACGGTTTCATGGTAAGATGCTTTGGCCACACCGGATTGTGAATGACTGTGCGTAGAGCAAATGCACGAAACCTACCGCTTCGACTAATTCGATCGAAATGAGACAATGCATTGCACTCACGACAGTATCACATTTCTAGTTTCAAGCAAGCTTGAAGGCTTCTGCATGATGAAGGCGCAGAAACATTATTAGTTGAGCAAGCTCGAAAGCGCGTATCTTCAACTTTGTGAAACCTGCGCATCATGCGCTCTGCTGCTAATGAAGCCGCGTTCGCCGCTCCCAAAGGTATTGCTCCTTCGTCGTGCAGCACCCTATACAGGGCTTTTCAACATAAGAGTCACAGCCTCCGCTTACGCGGCTCCTAAAACGCGGCCGCCTCGCTCAGGCCGCGCGCGGCGTTTGCGGCGCATCGCCCGGGCATTTTGCCAAGCTGCAGTCTACGCGCAGGCTGGTGCATGCGTCGGCGGCATCGATTGAGAACTGGCAAAATGCCCGGACGATGCGCCACGAACGCTGCGCGGACCTAAGCGTGGCGGCCGAGCGGGGCGGCTGTGACACTCAGGTTGAAAAGCCCTGTACATGCACCTTGTATGTACATGATGCAAATAGTTCCAAACACACACTGTTGTTCGTCAGCCCTTTCAAAAAAAGTTGATTTTATACGTCCGGCCAAAACGTTCACTAATACTCTCTAGAATATTCAATTACTTTTCAGTGTAGTATGGGCTGTGTAAGAACAACAGACGCAGTGTCCAGCTCAAACATAACTCAATAGTTGAATGTTACTCACAATCCCATTAATTACGATGAATATTGCGCTCGCACTTTGTGCGGAGCCATGCATGTGCTTGTAAACGCTGGTGTCTTCCAGACTAACTAATGCGTTGTAAACTCAAGCTGCTTCCGCTTGTCCAAAGGTCTGACACGTGTGGCCAGCGCTTTGGAAGTCCTGCCTTCCTCCTGTGTTAAGCTAGCAATGAAACTCCCCGAGCATCACGAATGAAATGAGGAAAGCTTTTCATTTCAAATGCACTTTCTTAAGTAACCGGTAATTTTACATGAAAGGGTTCTGTCGGATGGAAAAAGAATACGTTTAGAATAAATACTAAACTTTTGAGCAGGGCACGGCACAGGTGGCTTAGCAAGCAAGCTGGATATCGTTTTGGGGGAAAAAGCAAAGGGGATATCGTTTTTGCGGAAGAGCATAACGTTGTCTTTCGACCTGCGGCCGACACGCTGCCGGCATGCCGCTAGCAAATAAACAAAAGGTTTGTTTACAGCGAAGTGAGGATGAAATGACACCAAGATAAGTGTGTAGATGGACAATGGGGAGTTAGAACTAAGTATGAAAAATTATGAAAAAATTATGTGAACTAAAGGCGTGCTCAACTTTTTTCGGAGTTAGGTGGCTTTCAAGCCACCTGGATAGCCACCTGAGGTGGCTTAGGAAAGAAAAAGTCATAAATTTTTTCTCCCTCACATAATTTTTCTACTTTCTTTACATACTTTTCATCTACATCCCAAACCCTACAAACTGGTTCCTAAACCGCCTCAAACCCCCTTCTCCCCACTTAGTTATAGCCCCTTGAAAATTTTGAATGGCCGCGGTAAGGCTGCTCTAGGCGCGTATTGCTGCACGATGGATACATCATGCCGCCATTCCGGAGAATATGAATATCATCGCGTGTGTTCGATGATTCTTTTTTGTTTTTTTCTGCTGTTGCTTTGTTCCGTTCCTTTTCATGTATTTTCTCTTCGAATATCTCGTGGCGGATATCGTAATTTTATTGAAGTCAAAGGGGACTTCATTTTTTGCAATTTCGGGACGCCACCTCGTGCCGAGCCCTGGTCTAGGGTCAAAGGGGACTGCGTAAAAATTCGCAAAAGTCAAAGGGGACTTCGTTTTTTGCATTTTCAACTAGCCACCTCGTGCCGAGCCCTGCTTTTGAGTACTCAATAGTTGCCGTTATGAAAACTGATAACGCGAGCTACGTTTCTGAGCAAAAAACTTTCAATTTCGCTTAGTAGAACCTCTGGAAATCGAAAAAGTGAGCAACTGCCACGTTTTGGCGCCGTTTCCGCTTGTGATTAAACTTTTCGTAGTTTTTTGAGTTGCCGGGGAAAGTTTTGCGGATTTATATGCTGAACATATTCATAACTTTACAAAAAGTTTGCGTACTGACCTACTTTTCAGGCTGAAAAGAAAAGTGGATCCGATTGACGTTTGATTTTCGAAGGATCCGCTGAACGGATCCGCTCATGCTTTTGTATAGTAGACTCTCATGTTGGTAGCAGACGCTGTGCAAAATTTGGGCTCAGGAGGTTGGCTGGAACACGTTCTACGAATTTCGTGACAGACAGACAAACTTACACACAGACACACAAAAACACGTAAACATCCTTAGCCCGTTATTATAAGTTATGATTATAAAACATTTATTTTTTGGGGAGTAGCATCAGCCGCGCCCCCTTTTTCTGAGTTTCGAGTCATAGTTCCGCAAAAATCTTAGGAAACACACCAAAAATTTCTTCGGAGTACGTGACTGACGCCATGCACCTTTATCAAAAATTTTTTTTTGTCCCCCCACCCCCGGACGGGAATCCTGGGTACGCCACTGCGCTGTTTTCTTGGGAATCTGAAAGTAAGATAATGAAGAACACATGTGATGTTGAGTTTTCAAGCGTACTATAACCTCCCTTTTCAAACCAGTGTGTCCTCTCAAGCTATAAGTGCCTTTGGGAGAAAAACAGGAACTCGAAGATAGAGGGTCAGCGTATCCGTGGTAACAATGTAAACTTTATAAGAGACGCTGAGTCAGTGCAACTGAAAGCTGCTCCTTCAGCTGTAGCCTGCTTCATGTTCTAAAGCATATTCTAAATCTCTTGAGAACTGATGATGTTTTTGGCTCCATAAACTATTTCTGGATTTTTGTGGATGAGAAATTGAATTTTGCATAAAATAATCCAACCAAAACTTCATTGGGACCTCAATAAGCCAGCTGATTGCAGCTTGACTGGCTCTGAGCCAAGTACAATAGTATGACCACGTTTTCAAAGATATTGACTTTTGCCGAAATATATTGTATAATCTATACAATTTTCTATTCTAACAACCAAATTTTACATTGAAGGTAGGCTTTTTTCTACTGCACAAAATCGTTATAGGGACCGAAGACCACAAATGGACATAGATAAGTACCGTATTCATGATCTTGTTGATGCCACAGAAGTTCGTCGTGGAATAGCTGGACAACCGATGGCCATTGAAAGCTGCAAGGTTTTTTTTGACAAATTTTCGTTGATCTCAATCGCTCTAGTAATACTTATTCCTTTCAGAACAGTAATCTTCTAGTGCTTGATCATACCTCGACGATTACTGTAGACGACTGTACTGATTGCTTGATTTTGCTGGCTCCATGTGCTGGGAGGTAAGCTCTTTGAACACTAGGTCAACTTAAAGATATCGATGATTTCTGACTTTATCACTTTTCTTTGACTCATTATGTGATTACAATCGCCTCTTTCTATTTATCCTTTCTTGAGGCTAATATATAATACAGTGCTGGACATAATTATACAGTCACTCTAGAAATCGTCGTAATTTTTGTTCTTGTCAATGAATCTGTCTGAAACTTTGCCGTATTGTGCGCATGTCAACCCACCATAACCCCTCAAAACGGCTTCCAGTCTTGTTGAGTTCGAACGGAGAAAAACGAAAAAAATCGAAAAAGCCCTCTTTGAAAGCTGGACAAAATTATACAGCCACCTGGTTTTTCTAATCACTATCGCATTCGTTGACTCTCAAATTTTTTTTGTACAATTACATCCCAAAATATGAAACATTTGCGACACTTACATTTGCGACACGTCTTCCTACTCAAATAGAAGCAATCGCTGCATTTCTTGCCTTTAAAAGCATTAAAAGTCAATCTCCTTCAACAAACAACTGCTTTAAAGAGTTTTCAAGCTCTTGTTCATTCCAAATGATCATCATGGAATCTACTGACCCTTCTGGATAGATGAGGTGAAGAGCGCTTTCGTAAACTCCGCGTAATCGCTGATTTTGACGAACAGACTCCAACCTCACCATAGGGTTGACGCACTTTTGCACCACGAAACTCGATTTTCAAGCGACAGAAAATACTGTAGTGTAGCCATTACGACAGCCATACAACAGTGAACTCGTGTGCATGACTGGCTCTCTGATTCAGCCGCGGTTGACATTCACTGAGTATTGATGGAGCACCCTGTACAATCAAAGCCAACTCAGATCACGAGATAAAACCGGAGACGCTTAAAACTTCAAAATCTTAGCTAATCTCATTCATCGGGTGAAATATGACATGAAACACAGAAGGAAATAAGGGGATCTAGGGTTATATCGAAATCTTCCGTTCGCAGGGAATTTTTGTGGAAAGTATTCCAGGTCTAAATCGCTACCGCATCATTAGGAAAAATCTGAAAGTTGTTGCGAAAGCTGTATCCCCATGTAGACAATGTGATAAATCAAGTACAGCACTTTGTGGACATTGCAAACTGAGTTTTGTGGTTTAAAAGCGTTCCAAGCCTATGTTGAGGTTGGAGTCTGTCCGTCAAAATCAGCGATTACGCAGAGTTTACGAAAGCGCTCTTCACCTCATCTATCCAGAAGGGTCAGTAGATTCCATGGTTATCATTTGGAATGAACAAGAGCTTGAAAACTCTTTAAAGCAGTTGTTTGTTGAAGGAGATTGACCTTTAATGCTTTTAAAAGCAAGAAATGCAGCGATTGCTTCCATTTGAGTAGGAAGACAGGCCGTAAACGTCGCAAATGTTTCATAATTTGAGATGTAATTGTACAAAAAAATTTGAGAGTCAACGAATGCGATAGTGATTAGAAAAACCAGGTGGCTGTATAATTTTGTCCAGCTTTCAAAGAGGGCTTTCTCGATTTTTTTTCGTTTTTCTCCGTTCAAACTCAACAAGACTGGAAGCCGTTTTGAGGGGTTATGGTAGGTTGACATGCGCACAATACAGCAAAGTTTCAGACAGATTCATTGACAAGAACAAAAATTACGACGATTTCTAGAGTGACTGTATAATTATGTCCAGCACTGTACGGGATAATGCTTTTATTATGAAAAAAAAATCTACGTTATTTGAGGGAAAGAAATTTCTGATGAAAAAGGTCCTTTGTGTGTTTGTACATCGTTAGTGAATAATTTCAATGATTTCTATTACTACTCGTACTCGAATGAAAAAACCTACAAATCTGGAAATTATTCTTTGAAAATTTTTACATTTTTTCAAGTGAGATATAGCGAAGTGTTAGTGTACAAATCAAAAGGGAAATTATTGCTTTGTTCAATCAGTCGTGCTAAGAATTTTTTGGTCATATTGGTCCAATTACTTTTTTATTCAATGCTCCATTTCATTTTTTTGTGTTCCTTGTACTTGTGTGGAGATAGTAATAATAGAAAACCTTAAAAAATGTCTAATTATCAAACAGCAAAAAATAAACATTCAGAATATGAGGAAACTTATTTCTCTCACCAAGTAGCTACATTACTATCCCTGAGTATTTTTTCACTGATAAAAAAGTGATTTCTGTCACTATTAATATTTTTTGACGGCGGAAGTTACCGTATATGAACAGAGTAGAGCTTTTATGAACAAATGTTCGATGACTTTTCCGCTTTCAGTGTTTTCCTTCGCGAATGCGACTCTTGCACTGTGCTTACGGCATGTCAACAACTTCGTACACGAGATTGTCGCAATCTGCGCATCGCTCTTCATTGTGCCACTCAACCAATTATAGAAGAAACTACCAACGCTATGTTTCATCCACTGTCACTACACTATGACTCATTTATAGGTGAGCGTACTCTATAGATTTCGCTTTCATCTATGCTTTTTCGCACAATCCGTAGAATGAAACGCTGTTGCGTCTATGTGAAAGAGTGCGTGATTGGAAGAGACAGCAGACGACGAGAGCGACGAGAGTGCACCGGATACGAGTAGGCAGCGGAGTGGACGCAACGTGCTCCATCCCACCCGCGACGCGACTAATTCATTCTTTTCTTTATGGACTCACTAGCTGGCTTACCCGGCTCCGCCGTATCCGGACCAAACTTGACACACATACACTTCGGGCCCCGGCGGGTGTCACAGTCCACTTTTCGTTATCGATCTATGTCGATTTTATCGATTTTTATCAATTTTTTTGCTGAGTTCACCTACGGGGCTGGGAGTTGGCACAGGGGGGTAATCGAGCATGGGGATTCCGAATACAACATTAGTTTTCAGGATCGTCCATTACTTTTATCGATTTTATCGATTTTTTTTGTAAAGTTCGACCTGCGGGGCTGGGAGTTTGCACAGGGGGGTAATCGAGCATGCAGATCACGAACACAATATTAGTTTTCAGGATCGTCCATTACTTTTTCGATTTTATCGATTTTTTGAAAATTTGAGCTAGGGGGCTGGAATTTGGCACAGGAGTGTAGTCGAGCATGCTGATCACCCCCCTTGGGGGTGATCAGCATGCTCGATTACCCCCCTGTGCCAACTCCCAGCCCCCTAGCTCAAACTTTGCAAAAAAATCGATAAAATCGATAATAGTAATCGATAATCCCGAAAACCAATATTGTATTCGGAATCCCCATGCTCGATTACCCCCCTGTGCGAACTCCCAGCCCCGTAGCTCAAACTTTGCAAAAAAATCGATAAAATCGATAAAAGTAATCGATAATCCTGAAAACTAATATTGTGTTCGTAATCAGCATGCTCGATTACCCCCCTGTGCCAACTCCCAGCCCCGTAGGTGAACTCAGCAAAAAAATTGATAAAAATCGATAAAATCGATATCGATCGATGACGAAAAGTAGCCTATGACACCCGCCGGGGCCCGTAGTGTATGTGTGCCAAGTTTGGTCCGGATCGGTTCAGAAATGGAATTTTCTATTCGGAACATACGTACACACAGACATACATACAGACAGACAGACAGACAGACAGACATACAGACAAACAGACATTCAGCTTTATATATAAGATTCACAGAATGAATTTTCAGATGACATGGTTGCTGCTCGATTGAGCTTATTTACCAGCCATTCAAACTCTGTGCATGATTTCACTCCAGATCGAAATGCTGCCCACTATAAAATCAACAGCGATGTTTTGGCTCTGGTGAGTTCAGAAATGACAATTTATAAACTAGACATGAATAAACCCGAAAAAGTGACACAAAAATTGCTCGATCTTTCTCAGGGCCCCGACCAGTTGCTTACGCTCAAGACTCATGGTGTAATTGTAGATGTAACAGATTCTGATATACCTTTCCGAGGAAAACGAAATGGCACGGTGAGACATATGCTTTGATAGCTTATTTTTCCACTAAACATTGTTCTCAAGGAGCATCTTTTTAGAATTGCGCATGTAACCGAAACAGCGCAGAAATTTTTTTTCTCAAATGCAAGTTCTGCGATCAAGTGACAAGATTGTCATTATCCATTGAAACGCCTTTCAAAAAGCTCAAAACTACAATTTTCCAACCTTTCCAGCCGCCATTCTCTCTTTGAGTATTTTACACAAATTATGAATTAACCTGGAACTTGATCACTTACTCAATAACTAGCTACTTTTTCTCAGCGAATTCCATATTACGTATTTAGAGCCATTTCTACTATGCCGGATGTAGCGATGATGTGCCACGGTTGAAATTCGTTCAACGCTGTCAAAAAGTTGCTCATGCAATCTCAAAAATGTCGACCTTGAGCGTATTTGAGACATACGAGGTGGATCTGCATAAGCATAAGACGAAAATCCCTCTGAATGTGAAGGAATACGGTGAGAAATAATCCAAAAATACGGGCTTTACAAACTGAGGAAGTTTTTAGTCGTTATCGTGTCGCAGAAATGGGTCTTACATCATATTTGCAAAAAAATCACTATTACTTTGATGAACGGATAGCTTAATGTAGACTCTTCAAAAAAAATTGAGATCAATCATCTAAGCGAACCAAAAGAAGGTGAAAAATGAGTACAAACTCATGATGCCCGCTTGGTACGCCGCAGTCAAAAATGCGGCAGCAAAACATTGCCCAAGACAGGAATTGAACCTGTGTCACCACGGCCACAACGTGGGGTACTAACCACTATACTACTTGGGCCGAGAATATAGCGCCGGCACAGAGCTCATGATACATTTATTCATATACGACCAAGTAACCTAAAATGTAATTGTCAGATTCAATCTGATTGAAAGGAGGGGAGAAAGGGGGGGGGGGAATAGCCGGAAATTTTCTGATCCGTTTTGACTTATAACTGAGCCAAGTGTGCCTTTATAGCTACGAAGTAAACAGTTCTCTTATCCTCTGGTCTTTTCGCATTTAAAATATATGAAAATCGAATGGACGGTGCTCAATCAGTGATACAGTCTCAGCGAAATTACTCAAGATGTTATCTTTATAATAACAATTCTCAGAAAACCGAGATATTTTGGATTAAGCAGTTAAGCTTGCATACTTTTCTTGGTCATCTTTTTTTCACTCTTCAATGGAGTTTTACAGATAGATATGTACCCTATGATAGTCAGATGCAGTCGCTTTATACCCCCATTCGCTCTCTATCACTACTAATTAATTTCTTTTTTTCTCTTCAACATTCCTTTTTTCACTTTCTCAAAAAGTGGTACTAAGAAAAAATAGGAACGGACTTTGCTATTTCAAGCAATAAAAGACACTCGCGCATTATGGGAATTGTGATGAGCACTGGATCACGGGTCAAAAAATTTCGGTTAGAAGTGAGAATAGGCGTAAGTGCATGAAATAGAAGGAAATAATTCACGTAGAAGGCACACGAGGACAGAAACATAACATACTATTCAGGTAGTCGTCAATGGTTTTATCATTTCAGCAAAAAAAACTTCAGCAAAAAATACAGCGAAAGTTAATGAAAGCAAATCAAATTGTAAGGGGTAGGTAAGGTAACAAGGTAACAATTAAAGCAAATTCTTATATCTACTCTAGTCTGCATTGTTTGAAGCTTTGATCGCGCATTCAATCTGCTTATGTTGTCAAACACGGAGGAAGTGGAGGCGGTAGGTAGTGTAATGGAAGCCTAGGTACGCGTGGACTAGCCTCGCCTAGGTACTACCTCCAATGCGAACCACTCGAAAGTGATGATAATCTATGGTGACGGTAATCCGCCATGGTAATACATCATGCTCCGTTGTTTTGAGCACTACAGCAAACTACTACACTATTAAATGCCTAAGATCAAAGCTTTCCGGAAAGAAATTTGAATTTCCTAAAATTGATAGGATATTTAGCAGTTTGTACTGAGTAATATTGTTACTGATAAATTACTGGTGCTCCAATGCATTCAGATAAGAATATTAGACGAAACGTTGTTACTACATTACACTATTCAATGTGATTTCTTTTGCCTTGGCCTTTTTTGATATTCTTTCTTACTACCTATAGAGTTCTGGCCAGCAGGTAGCAACTTCTACCCGAATGTACTCTGTGACTGGTTAGACTTGTGTTTAAATTTCTGTGTTCTTTTTTTAATAGCGCATCTCGAGTGCATATAAATAAACTAGCTGGCTTACCCGGCTCCGCCGTATGTTCCGAATAGAAAATTCCATTTCTCAACCGATCGGGACCAGACTTGGCACACATACACTTCGGGTCCCGGCGGGTGTCACAGTCCACTTTTCGTTGTCGATCGATGTCGATTTTATCGATTTTTGCAAAATTTGAGCTAGGGGGCTGAAATTTGGCAGAGGGGTGTAATCGAGCATGATCACCCCCACGGGGGCTCAAATTTTGCAAAAAATCGATAAAATCGATATCGATCGATGACGAAAAGTGGACTGTGACACCCGCCGGGGCCCGAAGTGTATGTGTGCCAAGTTTGGTCCCGATCGGTTCAGAAATGGAATTTTCTATTCGGAACATACGTACAGACAGACAAACATACAGACAGACAGACATACAGACAGACAAACAGACATTCCGCTTTATATATAAGATAAATAAAGTTTGTGCATTATGGAACAAACTTCTGATTTGGTGAAAGCGTTTTTTTATTAGTCAAACAGACTCCCACTTCCAATCGTTTTTTCAGGAAGGGGGGGGTGCGAGGAGGGGAGGAGGGGGGGGGGTGCATAAAGCCAATTTTTTTGAAGTTAGATTTGAAAACTGTTTTAATTACTTAGAAGTAGAACAAGTCAGCATAATTCTTAATTCAAGTCAATTCATTTTTTGAAATTCCAACTCCTCCCAAAAAGTGCGAGTTTTGTCAGATACCTGTTATCACATCTCCTGTCAGATACCTGTTATCACATCTGTTATTACATCACATCTCTTCAAAGTCCATTAGGTCTTCTTACCCTTCCGCTTTCCCCCACCCCCTGTTCCTTTCCCGCTTCCCTTCCTGTTTCTTTCGCAGAATGCAACCAAGGTTTCGTGATGTTCGACCGTACAACGTCCGAGACTACTCTATCCTTTTTTGCCAATTCTACAAGGCCATGCATATTCAGCTCGTTGCTCGAACAATGGAAACAGACAAGAACTTTGAGAACCGCCGTACCTCAACGAGGCGCCGTCTTCTTGAACGTTCGCTTGTGTATTTGCTTCCGATTAGCGAAAAATAGCTGGCGCAAAAAAACCGGCTTTGGCTGGGTTAATAATGCGTAGGGGTCATGGCCAATTTGATGACTCAGAAAGCGAACATCACTAGGAAGAATAGAGAGGTTCGTCTTCGAGAGCCGACGGCTACGATGTCTGGTGGAACAAACCTAACTAAAAATGTACTAGTCATTCCAGCACATCCTCAGGAGTGCTACCCCAGAATTTAAAGTAAAAAGCGAAATGGGAATCTTCGGGACAGCTTTCTAAGTATTATCGCATATGTAAAGTGAAACCCAGGACTTACCCATAATCAATAACCGGTGTCACAGTGCAGTTCAGAAAATCGATATATCGATCAACCGCCGAATTAATTCCAACTCAGTGCATATTCGGGGTAGCCAAAGGAAAACTAAAAACTTAGATAGTGCCAGACCGCGCAATGGCTCGTAAATTCTTTAGCGGATGAAGACGGAAAGGAAATGGTAGTTTTGTTCATTTGTAACATCGATATATTAGGTCGTTCCGAAAGTAATGTCGCTTTTTTCAAACGTATGCCACATCTCGTAGAACAAAGATATTTAAGAGATTCTGGTAGCATTTAATGCAGCATTTCATTCTCTTTCTAACGGTTATGAAGCTGTTGCAATAGAGTCAATGAGCTCCAGAAAAGAGTCGAAATCTGCGACCTATGCTTTTTAAGATGGCCAAGTTTAACAATTTTTCTAAAATTTTATAACAAATCTCAGAAGGAGCCCAAGTAATGGATGGATGGAGCAAACCCTACAGGAAACAGAACAACTTTTTTCTACCTTCCAGAGCTCGTCATAATTTTTGTACAGATTTTTTGATGGAACCACCGAATTTTAGCAGGCTCGTCTCGGACAAAAGTGCATTAAACACCAACAAATCTTCGGATTTTAAAACTTACAAAGATGGATTATGGTTTGGCAACAATTTTACAAACCAAACGAGCATTCACCGCTTCGGTTTAGCCACTTTTGGAAATTTCGGGTACACCTTGGGGTGCCTTGGAAAAGTTAAATTATGATGATTTTATCCCGGAAAACTTGATGAATCAGAAACAAAAAACAACCGCTAGAAAGATGAGAAAAAGCTGTATCGAATGGCACCCGAGTCGCTTGCCGGTTGTTGTTCTGTGAGGTTTGACTTGACTAAATATGGAATTTGATGGCCTTGAGAAAGTGATTGTAGAAACTCTGAGAAGCAAGCAGAAAAAATTAATCTGTGTTCTATAGTGTTTGCTCTATCTACTGTTACTTGTACTTTTTCGGAGATTAGGTACAAAAATTTAGAAAAATAGCCGAACTTGACCATGGCAAAAAGCATAAGTCGCAGATTTTGGTCATTTTTCGAAAGCTTATTGAACTTTATGCAGTAAAAATAGAACGATTAGAAAGAGGATGAAATGCTGCATCGAATGCTTCTAAGATCTCTTGAAAACGTTGATTCCATGAATGGTGGCGTTTATTCGAAAAAAGCGACATTACTTTCGGAACGACCTAATAAAAAATGTTTTTGAGGGACATGACTTTCGTAAAAGTTAGTCTTCAAAACCTTTATGGAATTCAGTGTTTTTTTATAAGTTCCCTTATAGCACATGCTATCCACTGATTCATTCATAGGGAATTTGAGATGGATCAACGGCAAAAATTGCCTGAAATTGGATGGGATTGCGATACAGCAGATGATAAAAAAAATAATTGAGAAGTTATAGACAAGAACAGACATTCAGTGCATAAAGAACAGTAACCTCCTCTTTGGCTCCCAAAGACAGGGTCACGATTTTATTCTAATTTAGGTACAAAATTATGGTTCTGTTTTCGCTAGTAATATAAGTTTGCAAAAACAAAGCAGCTTCGTAAAAATCAAGAAAAGTTTCTTGGACCGCCACGGATGAACACATATCCTTTGACTCAACGTGCTTGCGGTTGGAAGGCGACCGCTCGCACTCGCGACGCAATCTGCGTCTCTCCCACAACGTGCTTTATAATCATTCTCTCGCCTGAACTAGGTCACGAAGCCCCGCCTTCCAGACGCCAATCCAGTTGAATCAAAGAGTACATTTATAAAGAGCTACGAACTGACTATAATTTTTATCTCTACTGGTTGAGCCCAGATCCCCTCCTCGCTCTCTTCCGTATACGTTTCCATTCTTGACTCTTAGTTTTACAACACCATGCTCATTATGTATGTCGAGCTTGCACTCGTAATGACATTGCTAAACCAGGTCATGAAACCACAATGTGCCAAGTTTATGGGGTCGTTTAGGTACATGCGCTGAACTGTCAAGTGAACTGGCTAAGTAAAAATAAAGAGACGACGACTTGCAAGTAATTCTTTCTTATGTAGAATCGAAATTCAGCGTCCCTAATGGATTGAAAGACGTCGTTAAGCAAACAGTACGAAACCAATATGGAAAGTTTTGGCAAGAAATTACTAAAATAGTAGAATTGATAAATTTATTTTGAGCGGAAAATCTGAGTGAGAAATCTACTTCCACAAACGGCAAAACCTTCATTCTTTTCTGAATTTAATGAACCACTATATTGAAAAAAATGCACTTTACCCGCAAACTTCAGGTACCCTTGTCGTTTTCGAAATATGCGGAGATGCGCACGAAATCGAGGCTCTGATAAAAAACACTGACGATGGATTTGTGAAAGTTCCCGATCAACAACATGAAACCTTAGCTACTGCACTGTCCATAGTGAATCAAATGTCCATATCATAATACAGAATACTTCTCCCATTCGGCTGTTATCTCCTTCTGTCCCGATCTCATCCAGAATTTTCATTTTAAGGCCAAATTTTGCCATTTAGATTGAATAAACGAATTTTGAAGATCTTGCAATGGAGATTTGGAATCACAATGTTTTATCTTCTTACGAAAAGGTGATTTAATATTTGGCTTGTGATAGAAATAGAAACTATAAGGTTAAACCGAAAGTTCTGTCGCACCATTTTCGAAAAATCATAACTTCTTTTCATCACGACGATTTTGCGCAGTTCAAATTTTGTCTGAAAGTGTAAAGCACGTAGTTTCCAAAGATCTCCCAGTGACTTCCCAATATGCTCAGGTTGCAGAGATAAAAATGAAAGAACGACATCATTCGAAATTCGAAATTTTTAAGCAAAAATTCTAAAAATCTAGAAACTGTGCAATAAATTCCAGAACAGCCATCATCCTAAGTTTTCTCATATTTTATTACTAATTGAGTCAAGTTTGTGCTAGTCGAAGTCTTCTGTCAGAAGTTATGATTTTTTGAAAAAAAATGCCGAAAAATCGATTTCTTAAGAATCTTAGGAAATTGATTTTTCGGCATTTTTTTTTTCAAAAAATCATAAATTCTGGAAGAAGAGCTGATCAGCACAAATTTGGCTCAGTTAGTAATAAAATACAAGAAAACTTAAGATGACAGCTGTTCGGGATTTTATCGCACAGTTTCTGGATTTTTAGAATTTTTGCTTAAAAATTCCAAATTTCGGATGATTTCGTTCTTTCATTTTTATCTCTGCAACCTGAGCAGTTGGAAAGTGCCCAGGAAACTTTTGGAAACTACGCTTTCTGTTAAAATTTGGATTGCGCACGTTGTGAGGGAAAGATGTTATGATTTTTTGAAAATGGTGCGACAGAACTTTCGGTTCAACCTAATATAAAATGGTTTATTTTTCACACTGACACATTTAGTAATCGATATTTTCGCTAAACCAGCCAAAACAACAATAAATCTTGATTTTCGTTTGCATTCTGGTATTATGATCAGTTTTTCTAATAAGCGAGATGGCCACATCAGCTGGCCACATCTCTCTTCAAAAAAGATTTTCAACTTTTAAATCGACATATTGGTTTTTGTTCAAATTCTCATATTAGGTAGGTACAAAAGTTCATGCCGTTTCTCAAACCCATGCTCGAATCACTTAAAATAAAGATAGACATAAGCTTTAAGCACAGAGCTCGGCACAGCTAACTCCGGGTCAAGCCATCGTTTTTAGGAGAAAAGGCAAGGGGGATATAGTTTTTGTAGCAAATAAGACACAAAAATTGCAACGTTTTATTGTTCGAAGTTTCTTTTTTTAAAGTTTTTCTATGTTTAGCGTTTAGGGTCAGAGGGGACTTCGTGAAACTTAGCGAAAGTCAAAGGATTTCGTTTTACCAAATTCCCTGGTGCCAGCTCGTGCCGAGCCCTAATAAGCACTATCCGATGCAGAATCTCTTCCTCTCTCCAAGGTTATATTTCCGTTCAGAATCCCTTGATGTCCGCTTGATAATCGGCAGGGATCTCCAACCCATAATTTCACCCATCTTGAGTCTGCCTATTTTTTTTTCAATTTCCATTTTCAACTTTTGGACTAGCTTCGATAACGGTTGGATGGATTAAACAAAATGCAATACAATACAGTTTTTAGCATCTTTAGCCGGCTTCTCAAGGTTTTTGAAATTCTTTTTTTGATGCTATCAAATTCCATATTTGGGCATTCCAATCCTCACAGAACGATAAAGGGCGAGCAACCAGGGTTCATTCGATGCAGCTTTTTCTCTTCTTTCTGATAGACTTCTTTTCTTTCTGATTTGTATGATATCTGAAGATAAAAGCATTGTAATCACTGTTTCCAGACTCGTCCCATGCTATGAACAGTAACATTGGATTCGAAAATTCCGAACCGCTGAACCTCAGTTGCTTACTAAAATCAGCGTTGAGTAATAAGCTGTTTTTGGAAGCCTGAACTTCTGAAGAAAGGGCTTTTGGAAAAATTATTTTGAAAAATATGAAAGTTGATGAAATCACAATAGTTCATTTATTGCATTTTGTTTGTTCTATCCAACTGTTATCAAAATTAGTCCAATAGTTAATGAGATTTCAAAAAATAGCCAAACTCAAGATGGGTGAAAATCATGGGTTGAAGATCCCTGCCGATTACTGAGCGGACATCAAGGGAATCTGAACAGAAACATAAGAGTAAGAAATTCTGCATTGGATAGTGCTTATAGCTTTTGTCTATCTTGTTCTAAATGGTTTGAGCATGGGTCTGAAAAACGGCACGAACTTTCTGACCGACCTAATATATGTAAAACGCATTTAGAACTTATTAGAGGTTGTCATCGTTTTCTAGTTTTCGAGACAAATTTTCTTTAATTTTTGGGGCAACAGAGCACAACCTACAAAATATCTGCAAACTATCCGTGCACCAGATTCATGCGCGCCAACTCTCTCGAAATCTCACCCTTTGTGTGATTTCTCTATCCCTGCAAGGACGACTTTTTCTCGGACAAATCTTCACAAGTATTCCTTTGTAGTGGACCTGAAGCAAAAAGTCACGGACAACGAGACACTTGAAGATGCGAAAATGGCTACGGCAAAAAAAATGAAAGGCTGTCTGGCAGAGGTTACTCAAGCATTGGAAAGTTTGATGTATTGACCTCATCCTATTGGAAATTGGATGAGCGTTTTAGGCATATTGAAGGAAGTATTCTCAGACACGTATACTCTTCTGATTTTGGAGGTAAAAAATTTGAGAACTCGAATATTTTTGTATCAGTTAAAACTAGCGGCTTGCATAGCATACATACATCGATATTAGGTGTTGTTTTTTTGTTCGATATGGAGCTGGAACCTCATGCAAGCAAAAGTCTTCCGCACGATCCTTTTCCGACTATTATACTAATCCAAAACAAGCTATTTTGAAAATTCATGTACTACTGAAGCACGGATTCTGGCTCGAAGTTAAATCAACCTTCAATTACTCCGAATACATCATCATCTTCTCAAGAGCTGAGCTGAAACTTTCAGCAAGACATATTTTCAAAAATTTTCAATGGATGTATAAAACGCACAAATTTTTTCACAACATTACTTAAATATTACGCGGTTTCCTGCTCTACTTAAGAGGGGGGGGGGAATACAGCACGGAAATCTTACAGTCCAGCTAGGAAGGATAAATAGACTAGGATTAGAGTTGCATTTTTTACATTAGATCAAAACGAAAGTTCATTAAGAACTCGCAACTTCCTTGTCTTAATGATTCTTTAGAATTTTGCTAGAAAAAAAGTAATTCATGTTCTTCCTGCCTTCGAAAGTTATAAGATAATCTATTCGCAAAGAGAAAAGATAAAAAGAAAGATCACGAGTTTCGGCAATTTTGAGCTGGTCCGGCTCACTGTAGAGTTTTATTTACTCCATAGTTTCTAGAGTTTGACAGGCCTGCTCAAAATTGCTGAAACTCAGATGTCTCTTTCTTCAATTATTCTCCTTGCAATCCGAAGTTACTAGAAACATTTGAAATGCCCCCAGAAAGTACATAGCTTATTTTCTCTCATATAATTGATTTTTTGCAAAAACATCGAGATAGGCGATGTTACGATTTTTTGAAAATGGTACACAACTTCCGGTTCAATCTAAATTAAGAAAATTTCTTTGTGGCCGCACATTGCAATGGTTGGAGACTGACTAAAGATTTTTGAAAGAAAACACTCTGGTATTGATACCTGCGTTGATCTTGTCGCGGAATAAAGCGGAAAAAACTTTCTCCTTTCAAAATCGAGTGCAAAGTTCAAGACGACTATGTTACGACGACCTATCTTCGCGCCCGATTGAGCGCATCAAACCAAACCTTTACATCTCCGATCGTACTTTAACATTCGTAGGCAGACGCATTTACTCGGAGAAACTCCGTCGTACAAACGATCATGTGCAAGAGCGCACACTTAGCCGAGGTCAGCGATTTCTCGACCTTCGTCGCCGTTTCTTTTGCCCGAAAAAGATGCATAAAAAAGAGGCGTTGAACCGTGTAGTGCGATCAAACACCGTTGCCGAATGGTAACTAACAATCTCTCGCTCGTGCACGGCATGACATTCATATATTTTAGAGAAAGAGTGCCTTTGAATTCAAATACATCGCATCTAAAACTAAAATGGTTGTTTATGCACATTAATCTTCTTAGATCTCCTCAGGGCTCGGCACAGCTGGCACCGGATCAAGCTGGATATCGTTTTTGGGGCGGAAAGCGAAGGGGATATCGTTTTTGCGGGTTAGATGCCGCTGTTTGCTAGAATGCCAGGGGCACGCTGCCGGCAAGTCGCCAGCGGAGTGCCCCTGGCATAAACAAAAAGCTTTTTTTACAATCAAATTTGGTGTGTGCATGCGCGTTAAGGGACTCGAACTATGGCCCAGCAAATTTATGAAAACTTAAGTGAATGAAAGCTGTGCTGAACTTTTTTCTTAATTAGCTGGCACCGTGCCAGCTGGGTGCCAGCTCAGCGGCACCGACACGTTGCTCACATAAGTTTTCATACTTTTTTTACATAAAATGTATCTGCACAGTAAGAGTTTATATATGGAACAAAAACAATTTCATAATGTTTTCTTTTCGGTGTTTTATAGCCATCTGGAATTTTCTCGGTCTGCTCCGCAGTCGAAAAATCTGATCCAGTCACAAAGCGCGCCCTATGCAAATGCAAAACACGTCAAAGGAGACTTCTTACGAAACTTTTGAGATCAAAGGGGACTTCGTTTCAGAATTTCCCTGGTGCCAGCTCGTGCCGAGCCCTGGATCACCTCCAAAAGGGAAAGCAAGGTCTAACAAACTTCGAGTCCAACTCAGATGGAAGCTCAGCACTAGGGTGGCAGTCAGATCTAAAAAGTAATAACTTTTTTCTGGACTTTGGATCTCGAAGCTTCTTTATGCGCGTTGGCTGCACAGTACTGTTCGATTGGAGCGCGCTTTCTTCCCTATGGTGAGATTTTTGATGCTACTCTGAGTCTAGCAGTCGAGAGAATACTATGTATCATTCCCATCAATAAAACTAAGAATCGAAAATCTGAGATTCAAGCGGACGTGTACCCGCCTACAGAAGTGCACAAAATACAAATGTAATTACTTCTGATTGAAGGCATCGTAAAGTTATCGTCTCGGGTTAAAGACAAAAGCTTGGCTCGCGCAGTAGCCATCCCATTATGAGAAGATGAATAAACACTGACTCATGCAGAAAGAACAGCCGCTCGGCTAGTAAGTCATCCCAAAAAATGTAAATCAAGCAACTAATACTTGTAAAAATTGCATTCCTCAGAATGCTAAAAAATCAACAAAATTTACTTAGAAGTAAACAGCACAATAGACCGAACTTGAGGAGAAGATTACTATCAATGAATAATATGGTTCACGAACATACCTCTAGAAATAAAAAGATTCCACTCCCATATCCTTCATAAGAATGTTTGTAACCCTTGAGCGAACAGGTTTTGAATGTATCATTTTTTGACTGAATTCCTTCCCATCAGTACAAAAAGTAGTATTTCTCTCTTCAACATAGCTATTACCTACCTAGTGTTTCAAACTTCCAAGCTACAATCTCCACAAGTGGCAGTTCTTTACCGCAGCTTTATAAAATGGGGTCAGTGGTCAACGATCGCCAACGTAGTACACCAACAAGATCGCCTGCCCTTTCTTATGTTTACCGGAAGCAGAGCTGGTAGCACCATTCAGCGGTATAAAAAAGATCTGAAGTTTGTTGCATGTTTAAGAAAAAAGGAGAACAAATAGGGCATAAAAATATCGTAGTTTCATCCGGTTAGGGGAACTTGCTCCGCTTGCTTCACATTTTACTGGACGAAAAACATTCACAGTTAGGCAGGCTCCTGCTAAAAAAGTTGGAATCTTTCCATTCGATAAATTGGTTGCTCTCAATTTGTCCTTTTTATTTCAATCATCTCTAAAGTTCATCTCTCGTTTTTTTTATCTGCTCATTGCGCAGCATCCATCATGGGTTTAAAAGCAGAAAAATTTCATTAGAATTCTAGATTTATACCATCAATATGCGCAATAAAAGTGTGGGAAAACCGCGTGTTAGAGAAAAAAATATTTGTAGGCTTTTTGTACGGTGTATACGGTATGGGGTCAAAATGGACTACGCTGAAAAAAACTTACTGGGTTAGTAGGTACTGATATTATCATGAGAAGGGCTCGGCACAGGCTCGTTACGATAGTCCCACCTGGTGGGTATACGGTAGGTTTACGGTCTGGTCAAAATATCAAAACTCGTTGGAAACTTATTTGAAAAGTTGCACTGCTGATCGTGAAAGTGTCATACCTCCTCAAGATAGTTCTCTCTGTGGTCGGTAAGTATACGGTGTGGGTTCAAAATCTCGGAATTGGTATTTTCAATGAAACCTGACATAAAGTGCAATCACGTGAGTATTTGACTCTCAAAAACATTGCTCTGTAAAGTGCAGATCATAACAAAATGCTTTTTCAAGCTCTCTTAACTGAACTTCTGAAGAATCATTGCTGTATGAGCAGTATTCCACGCCAAGATCTGATTTTTTACATTACATTTGCTTGATTGATAGGTCAGCTGGGTAGTTAAAAAACACACGAAAACTGATAGGAACTGTTTTCAACGAAGTGATAGCGGAAATTCAGTAACATTTTAGGTTGCCAAACCCACTCACAATCAATTCATCTTCAAGTTGCGAAGTGCGGAATTTCTCGCGCACCCACCCATTCGCACCCTTTGTTTCAAATTTTTGCCTGATAGCATTGCATAGAGTAAAGATGCTTATCAAATACTAGCGAAGTACACACATCAGCTATCTTTTCTCTATCTTTTCGCAAGTACAGAGAGATCGGAATTGCCGCCAAGGCGAAAGGTCAAGTAAACCACCGAAAACAATGGCGTAATTTGAAACATCGGGCGATTCCCATTGATTACGTCATTTTCTCTGTAGCTACTAGCGGAATCGCGAAAATCTCTTGGGCCATTTACGGGGACGTCTGATCATTGAGTAAGGGAAAGGTAGACTGCACTCCTTGATTGATATGAAGCGGCAATAAAATCAAAAAACCTCAAAAAATCAAAAATTTGCGAAGAAAAAAGACAAAGTAAGTGGGGTGATTAAAATCATGAGCAGAACCATGACTTTAAATTCAGAACGAAAATTTCATTCTTTGAAATTGTCTTTGCAGTCAAGATCACAGCTGGTTCTACTTTGTAGGAATAAACAGTTTTTACTGAACTTGTGATTTTCAAGCAATCTTGCAAAAATTCCATTACCACCTCTTACCAAGAAAAACATGTAACATTGCTTAAAACTGGCGACATAGTGAGTTACATGACCAAAACTCAACATAAGGTTCGTACATAGTTCTTCTGGCTTTTATGACCTGGTAAGCAGTGCCAGGCATTGTCTCTATTTACGATGTGGAACAAAAGTTCCATCTGAATGTTGTGATTGTAATGACAAACCGAAAAGGGGTTACAGCTGTAAAGCGTGACAAATAGTTGGAAGAACAAAAACATTGACAAATACGATGGTACTGGCACCTAAATTCAAAATGACGCATCTTAATTAGGGATTTGAGTAATTAACTACCTCCGTAGTGCACCAGAACCTTATCCTTCGCAAATGGTTTTTTGGGGTTTCAATCAGAATAGCAAACTTAGCAGTGAATAGATTTAGCGTAATTACAATTGCAATCAAAAAGTGTTCTCGAGAACCCTCAATTCAGAAGAATGGAGCGGTTCACGAATCCAAGATTTCGAGTTAAAGTCTCAGCGGTCAACAACCAAGTTGTTACAAACTTTTATTGCTCTAAATAGCTACTTGTCACATATAGCAGAGCATACGCGAAGCCATACCGCGCCTACAAAATCCGGTTTTGAGCCATTTGAAAGGTCAACCGCGCTACAGTATAAAAGGTAACCCAGTAAGGAGGAAAGGCATCACCGCCCACATGAAAGTTTTCGCACTCGTCTCAGCCCTTGTGGCTCTTAGCGCTGCAAAGTCAGGTTGGTTCTTTGTTTTTTACTTAGTTTTGAGGTATTTTTTTTTACTTTTGGCTTGCCTTCTCTAGGAATAATTCACGTAGGATTTTTGGTACTAATCTGCACTTTTCACTCCTTCAATACTTTTCAGTTTTCAAAAGAAACGCATATGGAGACGAGCCTGTTGCCCCAGCACCAGCACCAGCACCAGCAGCCGAAGCTCCCGCTCCAGCCGCTCCAGTTGAGCAAGCTCCAGTAGCAGTTGAGCAACCAGCTGCCAACTATGCTGCTCCAGCTCCTCCACCACCGCAAGAACCATCAGGTTACAGGGCAAAGAGAAACTCGAACTCATACGGAGATGAGCCAAATGCTGCCCCAGCACCAGCAGCCGAAGCTCCAGCACCACCAGCTCCAGAGCAGGCTCCAGTCGCAGTAGAACAGCCAGCTGCCAACTGTGCACCCGCTCCAGCACCCGCCGTTCCATCAGGTTACCGAGCCAAGAGAAACTCGAACTCATACGGAGATGAGCCAAATGCTGCCCCAGCACCAGCAGCCGAAGCTCCAGCACCACCAGCCCCAGAGCAGGCCCCAGTCGCAGTACAGCAGTCAGCTGCTGAATGTGCTCCAGCTCCGGCTCCAGCAGTTCCATCAGGTTACCGAGCCAAGAGAAACTCAAACTCTTATGGAGATGAGCCCCATGCCCCAGCACCAGCAGCTGAAGCTCCAGCACCACCAGCACCAGAACAGGCTCCAGTCGCCGTAGAGCAGCCAGCAGCCAACTGCGCTCCAGCACCAGCACCCGCCGTTCCCTCAGGTTACAGAGCCAAGAGAAACTCGAACTCATACGGAGATGAACCAAATGCTGCTCCAGCACCAGCAGCTGAGGCCCCAGCACCACCAGCACCAGAACAGGCCCCAGTCGCCGTAGAGCAGCCAGCAGCCAACTGCGCTCCAGCACCAGCACCCGCCGTTCCCTCAGGGTACCGAGCCAAGAGAAACTCGAACTCATACGGAGATGAACCAAATGCCGCTCCAGCACCAGCAGCGGAGGCCCCAGCACCACCAGCACCAGAACAGGCCCCAGTCGCCGTAGAACAGCCAGCAGCCAACTGCGCCCCCGCTCCAGCACCAGCAGTTCCTTCAGGCTACCGATCCAAGAGAAACTCGAACTCATACGGAGATGAACCAAATGCCGCTCCAGCACCAGCAGCGGAGGCCCCAGCACCACCAGCACCAGAACAGGCCCCAGTCGCCGTAGAGCAGCCAGCAGCCAACTGCGCTCCAGCACCAGCACCCGCCGTTCCCTCAGGTTACAGAGCCAAGAGAAACTCGAACTCATACGGAGATGAACCAAATGCCGCTCCAGCACCAGCAGCCGAAGCTCCAGCCCAACCAGCTCCAGAACAGGCCCCAGTCGCCGTAGAACAGCCAGCTGCCAACTGCGCCCCCGCTCCAGCACCAGCAGTTCCTTCAGGCTACCGATCCAAGAGAAACTCAAACTCTTATGGAGATGAGCCTGTCGCTCCAGCTTCAGCACCAGCTGCTGAAGCTGCTCCACAGGAAGCTCCAGCCCAACCAGAGCAAGCTCCCGTTGAACAACCAGCACCTCAACCTCAAGCCGTACCTGCAGCGGCTGAACCATCAGGATACTAGTTCGCATATCTCAGTCTTACAATTGAAGATCTTCATATGTTTCAAAGCTCGTAATAAAATTTTAAAATCCTGAACTATCTTCATGTAAGTGGAAATCAAAGTGTTATCAGGAAAAGCTGTAAAAGTGCATTCAAGTCCAGAAAAATCATGCAAATCCCAAATCTGCCATAGCACTTTGATGTCGATGGAGCTGAGATATCGCAAAAGAACATTGTAATATCTAACATTGTAAAAAAACAAAAAGTAGTTTGCAATGAACAAGACATCAGGCAGCTCATACCTACTAAAGAAATCGGAAAAAAATAACTTTCAAGAGCTATGCTCCAGCTTACTTTTACGGGGGCGAACGAGAATGGAGTGTATTGACTGCATATAGGTTCATTTCTTATTGTTAGAAGAAATACTGCAGCTGAGATTAGTGTACTGTTGTTTACTGTTGTAAACTCCCTAAAAAGCACTGATTGGCTACGCAACCATAGAGCTTTGATTAATCGTAAAGGTCGGTGAGTTTGCGGCCATGCTCGCATATTGTGACTTCTCAGTTTTCTTTCTCCTTCAAAGCCTTTCCGAATCAGATATCAGCTTTTGATTACCGCGATTTTGAAAGGTGCGGTATTCCAAGAATGGTTTGATCAACTTCGAGATCATGGCATCCTGCGTAAGCCGCAAACTCACCGGCCTTCACGATTTGGCAAAGCCCTGTACTATCTAGACATGGAAGGGATCGGCCATACTATTCCTGCTATTCCTACGACTCCTGCGATTCCTGCGATTCCTGTGAGTCCCGCACAGTTTAGACGCCGCTTAAATGAGCGCGTGTTGCGTAAAACAACACGTAACACGCAACACGCGCTCATTTAAGCGGCGTATAAACTGTGCGGGACTCACAGGAATCGCAGGAATCGCAGGAGTCGTAGGAATAGCAGGAATAGTACGGCCGATCCCGAACATAGGAGTATGATCGTTTCAACTACCCGCGTAGAGGCGGATGCGCGTACTTTCCCTGATTGATGAACTTGCCAATCTTCCACTTCATAGCATAGTTTTTCGTACTCTCTCGCTATCAAAAACACGATCTGAGCAGGCACCCCCCCCCCCTCTATAAGAATCGTGGAGTCGATGATATATAGTCGAATCATTTCATATGACCACTAGTTGGCTTACCCGGCTCCGCCGTATGTTCTGAATAGAAAATTCCATTTCTCAAGCCGGACCAAACTTGACACACATACACTTCGGGCCCCGGCGGGTGTCACAGTCCACTTTTCGTTATCGATGTCGACTTTATCGATTTTTTGCAAAATTTGAGCTAGGGGGCTGGGATTTGGCACAGGGGGATAATCGAGCCTGATTACGAATACAATATTAGTTTTCGAAACCGTGCATTACTTTAATCGATTTTATCGATTTTTTTGCAAAATTTGAGCTAGGGGGCTGGAATTTGGCAGGGGGTGTAATCGAGCATGCTGATCATCCCCACGGGGATGATCAGCATGCTCGATTACACCCTTTTGCCAACTCCCAGCCCCGTAGCTCAAACTTTGCAAAAAATCGATAAAATCGATATTGATCGATACGAAAAGTAGCCTATGACACCCGCCGGGGCCCGAAGGGTATGTATGCCAAGTTTGGTCCGGATCGGTTGAGAAATGGAATTTTCTATTCGGAACATACGGCGGAGCCGGGTAAGCCAGCTAGTGAATGATAGTTCCGTTTGCGTCTCTGACGTGCAGTACGGGCGACATGCTGAAAAAATACAATATCTATGTCATTGACAGCATGATGTTGCATGCTGCCAACATGTTGACTATTCATGACGCAAGTCAGAGATGGAGAGCAAGGGTAGCAACGATTGTGGAGTGAACAATGCAGCGTAATCCTGCTTTGCACGCACTAAAGATAGCGAAAAGCATGCACGGAAATAAGGTTCGAGGGAGATGGAAGGCTGTTGCGTTGAACAAAATTGGATATAGTTTATTTCAAACAGTTAGGCCGAGACTGGGATTAGGCAAATCCGCCACTCCACGGTTCGCCCCTTATCGCGATGTCACTGTGAGTGAATCATGTCGTACAGACCTATGTTCTGCGTCTGCTCACTCTTCCGGGTCTTTGATTGACAAGATAGCAGCATTCTGCGCGCGCAAAGCCTCCAGCGATGCGGGCGCACTGCTCCAGATGAAATCTTCTCGAGATTCCTCTTCTGCCGGATTGAAAAAGACTATAGATGCAACTGCGCATGTTTCCAGTGTCTTGCGCTGGAAGCATGCGCATTCGGCGCGTCTCTTGAGCGTTCAGACTGTGAAGCTTCTGGCGCTTCAAAGGTGACAGGTGAGCTGCTTAGCTGAAAGTTTCATCTTCCCACGATTGCTGCAAGCCTTGCTCTCGTCTCGATCTGCGACCTGCATGGCTAACATGTTGGCAACATGCGACAACATGTTCAATCTAAAGCTAACAGCCAACACATTGTTGGTAACATGTTACTGATGTGCCAACAGGTCAGGCATGCGGCCGCAGATCATAAAGGCAACGTTCGGGCAGAATCTCGACCTTTATTTTTTGCCTTATCTAGACCTTTTCATGGCGCTGGCGAATATGGCATTCGAAGTATCGTCGAGTCATTCGTAACTTAATATGCGTAGTGCACACTAAACACGTTAACTGACGAACAGCAAAACTAAAGCCTGCTCATTTTTAGTGATTTCTGCGTGTTTCCTTGTCTCTTTTGTTTTCGTTGGTTACATGTTAGTCAATAGAACTTATTTTTACGCTTTGCTGGGCTAAAAAAATGTTTCACTGGAAAGTTACCAGTACGAGTGCCGTCGTTAAAAGGGCTTAGTGTGCAATCTCACACATTAAGTTACGAATGACTCGAGGTTATGTGAATTTTTCAGAACCCCATTTTTGAGATAATTTGTGAAGCGTGGACGAGTGCTTCTAATACAATCCTTGTGAAAGCAAGCAAGCATTAGCAGGTAGACGCTATGTGTTCCATTGTGTTTGCCGCGCAAAAACACGTCAAGGGCTGAGGAGAGTTCGTTCAAGGGGGCGGGCCGTGCGAGAGAGTGGGCATGGTCCTCGAGGCTCGACGTTTTCTGCACCCTTTTATAGGATGTACAAAAGTCGGATTAGTGCAATAGTTGTAGACCGAGGCCTTAGTACCCGGTTATGATAGTATCTTGTAATGTCCTATGACGCTGCCTTTATGCGCACAAATAGGTAACAACCAATACTTAGCGGTAGAATATCAAGATACAGACGATAAGCAGGGTCAAGCAAGGCCATCAGAATCGACCCCCCCCCCGCCCCCTAAGTTGTATTTATGATGACTCCCTGATTACAGAATGGCTTTGAAACTCACCACCAATGAATAGTTGTTTACGATTCAGTTGTGATGCTGAGCATCACAAATGAATCGTAAACAACTATTCATTCATGAAGCATCTCCATGTAAAACCGGTAATTTTGGAAAAAAAACTTTGTTGCAAGAAACAAATGCGAATTTGAACGGATCTGAATTTATTTTGGTTTGATAATCGTCATAAGGATAATAGTCATCTTGGGCTACTTCAGTGCAAAAATCTTTTCAGTTTTTTCATATAAAACCTTGCCAAGTCGACAATCTGCGCGTTCGTCATTTTGGCGCTGTTTTCGCAAAAAAAGCAAACTTTTTGAGCACTTTTTGGGCTAGAATTCATGGCGCGCAGAGTTACTTGTCAGGAACTTTGCAAAAAGTCGAATTAGCAACCCAGTTTTGCGTGCCAAAAGGCGCGTGGACCCGTTTGACGCGCAAATTTTGAGGGACCCGCTTATCGAACCGGCTCATCCTTGCGCATGGTGGGCCTGCACGCTGGCACGGTATGTTTTGCAAAATTGCAGGCCGATAGCTTAGTTGCAGCTTCCTCTATGATATTCGTGACAGACAGATTTTCACACAGACACACACAAAAAACAGACGGCCTTAGCGCGTTATTATAGTAGGATCATTCGGTGTAGCCAATCAGGAGGGAGGCACAAAAGCAATATAAGCTGAACGGACGCAAAGGCGGCGCAGGCATCTTCACCGTTGGAGACCCTGCGCCTTAGGCCTAAGGCATACCTCCAGCGATGCGAGATCGCCACATCCCCGCGACTTGGCGATTTGCCAGATTTCTACAGATTAAGCATGCGCGGCTCTGAATTATACCAGACGCAGCAAGTCTGGCCGAAACAAAGTGCGTTTACGAACAGCTATAAAGAGTTTTTGCAGTGGCAGATCGCGCAGCGACTAAAATCGCATGAGGTATGCCTTAGGCCTCAGGCATACCTCACGCGATTTCAGTCGCCACGCGATTTGGCAATACTCCAAATGTTCATAACTCATCCTACGGGGTTTCTGAATGTACGGAAGATGGGGCATTTTATTACCTAAGAAAGTTATACATGCTGTGCATTTGGGGTCTACCAGTATTGAATTTGAAGACATCTGGCAAATTGCCAGATCGCGTGGCGACTGAAATCGCTTGAGGTACCTATGTCCCTTGCCTTAGGCCTTACAATTAGGCCTTAGGTTTTCAAGATACTACGCCACAGGACGCAGCAGCCTGCCGTAGCCTGCCACAGCCGCTGCAGACGCAGCGAAAATATGCCTATGCCACCGCAGTTTTGCATTTTATCGATGTTTCTCTTCTATGTGAGTTCGCATTTGAAGAGTACTCATCCGAGACGAGTTTTTTTTCTCTTCCTTGTCTCATCACAAGTTCAATGTTTTTCATTCACGTTGAATTTGGCGTTATCAATTTTCCCAAGCTTGTTTCGCTCCAGTTAATTCTCCGTCAATAACTTTGACGCGCTATTCTGTTTAAATAGTAGGCGCTATTCCAGTATCCGGGCCCCAAAATTTTTTTGCCGTGGATTTCGGTAAAACTTCGTCTAGGGGGGTTATTTGGTATGCTGAACACAAATATGATGTTTATTTCATGCAATAGCGCCATCCGGTGGAGTTACGGTAAGATTACGGTAGG